TTACTAATTTCCTCTACAAAGAACGGGAGATTTAAATCCATGTTTAACAAGAATTATGATTATTCAACACCCAATATCACAAATTTATCAAACTAAAACAAGGCATTATACAGACCTATCCCTTTCACACAAACATGTCACACTCACATTTAACACATCCCGCACAACATGTGTCATGCACGTACACACCACACACGCAAAAAAACCCCATCACATGCTCATAAACTTCACACTTGTGTCTGTGTGACAAAAAAAAGAAAGTCCTGGAACCATCAGGGACCAGTGCCTCCTCAGCTATAGGCGATATTTTGATGATTCTTGAGCATGGTGACCTTTTGGAGAATGTAGTTTTAAATAGAAGATGAGATAACAAGTTAAAACATAAATTTTTTTCCGAAATGTTACTTAAATTTTTATCTATAGGTTTTGAACAATTAAAGTAAATATCATGTAAAGTTGGAGAAATCCTCAGTCCTCACTGATTCGGTGGGATCTGTGCTTTATCTTGTACAACAATTAGATCACAACTATTGCACACATGTAAGATATGATTTATAATCAGTAAACTACACTCCTGTAAAAATTAACGTTAACCCTATCAACCTTTGATTCTGTGACCTCTACTACTATTACCTGTAACAAAAACCTATGCTCCTTTAAATGAATACCCATACACCTGTAACAGTTACCTACACACCTGTAGTCTTTGTTTCTGTAATATTAACTACGTTCCTTTAAACAGATGCCTACACTCCTATAGTATCTGTTCCTGTAACAGTAACCTACGTTCCTTTAACTGGATGCCTACACTCCTACAGTATCTGTTCCTGTAACATTAACCTACGTTCCTTTAACTGGATGCCTACACTCCTGTAGTATCTGTTCCTGTAACAATAACCTACATTCCTTTAAACAGATGCCTACACTACTATAGTATCTGTTCCTGTAACAGTAACCTACGTTCCTTTAACTGGATGCCTACACTCCTACAGTATCTGTTCCTGTAACAGTAACTTACGTTCCTTTAACTGGATGCCTACACTCCTGTAGTATCTGTTCCTGTAACAGTAACCTATGTTCCTTTAACTGGATGCCTACACTCCTACAGTATCTGTTCCTGTAACAATAACCTACATTCCTTTAACTGGATGCCTACACTCCAATAGTATCTGTTCCTGTAACAGTAACCTACCTTCCTTTAACTGGATGCCTACACTCCTACAGTATCTGTTCCTGTAACAGTAACTTACGTTCCTTTAACTGGATGCCTACACTCCTGTAGTATCTGTTCCTGTAACTGTAACCTACGTTCCTTTAACTGGATGCCTACACTCCTACAGTATCTGTTCCTGTAACATTAACCTACGTTCCTTTAACTGGATGCCTACACTCCAATAGTATCTGTTCTTGTAACAGTAACCTACGTTCCTTTAACTGGATGCCTACACTCCTACAGTATCTGTTCCTGTAACATTAACCTATGTTCCTTTAACTGGATGCCTACACTCCTGTAGTATATGTTCCTGTAACAGTAACCTACTTTCCTTTAAACAGATGCCTACACTTCTATAGTATCTGTTCTTGTATCAGTAGCCTACGTTCCTTTAACTGGATGCCTACACTTCTATAGTATCTGTTCTTGTATCAGTAGCCTACGTTCCTTTAACTGGATGCCTACACTCCTGTAGTATATGTTCCTGTAACAGTAACCTACCTTCCTTTAACTGGATGCCTACACTTCTATAGTATCTGTTCCTGTAACAGTAACCTATGTTCCTTTAACTGGATGCCTACACTCCTACAGTATCTGTTCCTGTAACATTAACCTATGTTCCTTTAACGGGATGCCTACACTCCTACAGTATCTGTTCCTGTAACATTAACCTACATGCCTTTAACTGGATGCCTACACTCCTGTAGTATATGTTCCTGTAACAGTAACCTACGTTCCTTTAAACAGATGCCTACACTCCTTATTTCCCTAACAAGGTTGTTTATTTGCCAACACTCACTCAATGTCTGTACATAACACAGATAAAAAGCTAGGGACTACAACTAAAGATTGCTAGACAGTTTACTTACATAGCATGGCACAGATATTGGATATATGCTGAGTGGTACAGATTTCTACTGAACAAACAAGAATCTCAATGGCAAATAAATAACTGCAAAATTGTCTACCCTAGATTGGGGCCTCTGATGGCCTGACTAGACAGAACAAAGAACAACTCATTAACAGACAATCTAACAATACATTTACAGCAAGATTTCGTAAAATCCTCACTGTCATTATAATACTGTAGAACAATGTCCTTTCCTGTGTGAATTTTGTTATTGAAAAAAAAACCATTAAAACACCGTATAATACAGCTTGTTTCCGAAAACATCATATGGTATAATACAGTCTGTTTACAAAAAATATTAAAAGCCTCGAACTTGATTTTGCAAAAAAAAAAAAAAACAAAAAACAAAAAAAATGGCCATGAAAAAAAGTAGGATAAGAGTAAGCCATGAGAAGAGGTTCAGTAGTGATATTTGTTGTCATTCTACTGAACTGTAATGGATAAGAGTGGGGTTGTTCACAGGTGCATGCTTATAGCTGGATAAATACAGACGGACTTATTTGTAACATAATTATGTTTCTTAAAAGTTTACTACAGAGTACCTAATACAAACAATATAAAAAATGTACTTAAATTAGGGGGGAAAGTCACAAAGTACTTCTGGGATAGGGGAATGTTTGATGGAGAGTGGACTTAAACAGATCTCAGGAAAGGGTCTAACAAAAGTGAAATTATAGGAACAAGTGCAACGTATTTACAAAGGGAGGTAACAGGGATAATTAAAAGAGCAGACAAAATTTAATTTTTTTAACAGGCGATAAAGGAAGTGAAGTGAAATATAGTAACTCAGTACATAAAGCAACAACTGATGTGTGAACATCTGATGGTCAATATCATGGGACTAGGGAGCTCTGCATGAATGCTGACTACAGCCTCTCCAATCTGGAGCTGACTACTCTCCAATCTGGAGCCGACTACAGCCTCTCCAATCTGGAGCCGACTACAGCCTCTCCAATCTGGAGCCGACTACAGCCTCTCCAATCTGGAGCCGTCTCCAATCTGGAGCCGACTACAGCCTCTCCAATCTGGAGCCGACTACAGCCTCTCCAATCTGGAGCCGACTACAGCCTCTCCAATCTGGAGCCGACTACAGCCTCTCCAATCTGGAGCCGACTACAGCCTCTCCAATCTGGAGCCGACTACAGCCTCTCCAATCTGGAGCCGACTACAGCCTCTCCAATCTGGAGCCGACTACAGCCTCTCCAATCTGGAGCCGACTACAGCCTCTCCAATCTGGAGCCGACTACAGCCTCTCCAATCTGGAGCCGACTACAGCCTCTCCAATCTGGAGCCGACTACAGCCTCTCCAATCTGGAGCCGACTACAGCCTCTCCAATCTGGAGCCGACTACAGCCTCTCCAATCTGGAGCCGACTACAGCCTCTCCAATCTGGAGCCGACTACAGCCTCTCCAATCTGGAGCTGACTACAGCCTCTCCAATCTGGAGCCGACTACAGCCTCTCCAATCTGGAGCTGACTACTCTCCAATCTGAAGCCGACTACAGCCTCTCCAATCTGGAGCCGACTACAGCCTCTCCAATCTGGAGCCGACTACAGCCTCTCCAATCTGGAGCCGACTACAGCCTCTCCAATCTGGAGCTGACTACAGCCTCTCCAATCTGGAGCCGACTACTCTCCAATCTGGAGCTGACTACTCTCCAATCTGAAGCCGACTACAGCCTCTCCAATCTGGAGCCGACTACAGCCTCTCCAATCTGGAGCCGACTACAGCCTCTCCAATCTGGAGCCGACTACAGCCTCTCCAATCTGGAGCCGACTACAGCCTCTCCAATCTGGAGCCGACTACAGCCTCTCCAATCTGGAGCCGACTACAGCCTCTCCAATCTGGAGCCGACTACTCTCCAATCTGAAGCCGACTACAGCCTCTCCAATCTGGAGCCGACTACAGCCTCTCCAATCTGGAGCCGACTACAGCCTCTCCAATCTGGAGCCGACTACAGCCTCTCCAATCTGGAGCTGACTACAGCCTCTCCAATCTGGAGCTGACTACAGCCTCTCCAATCTGGAGCCGACTACAGCCTCTCCAATCTGGAGCTGACTACTCTCCAATCTGGAGCTGACTACAGCCTCTCCAATCTGGAGCCGACTACAGCCTCTCCAATCTGGAGCCGACTACAGCCTCTCCAATCTGGAGCCGACTACAGCCTCTCCAATCTGGAGCTGACTACAGCCTCTCCAATCTGGAGCTGACTACTGCCTCTCCAATCTGGAGCTGACTACTCTCCAATCTGGAGCTGACTACAGCCTCTCCAATCAAAAGCTGACTACAGCCTCTCCAATCAAAAGCTGACTACAGCCTCTCCAATCAAAAGCTGACTGCTGAACTCTAAGTATACAAAACTGCCAACAAATGACTACTAATGCACCATTCTACATTATCAACAGGACATCAGCCCTGTATCTATTCTTCTTCTGATAGATATGCAGTTTATCAAAGCTTGTATGTCCACAGTAAAACTTGTTTTACAGATCATAACAAAGAGTAAATGCTTTCGACCAATCAGTTTGTTAATATGTTACTCATCTCAAGCTCTGTAAGTGATTTGCTAACAGATCAAGCCTCATCATCACTTACTTATTTACATGTGAAATTTACAATTTATAAATGCTGAGAATTTGTTATTTTAACAAGTGAAGAAAGTACTGACAGACTAATTACGAAAACCTTCTGACATTTAAATTCTAACAGAGCTGACAAGCCTTGCACAACTAGATTATCAATGGCGTTAAAAGGTTTGTTAGAAACTTTGTATCTATGTATCTATTTTGATAGAAATACAAAAACAACATGCTGAAGAGCATTGAAAATGCTCTTAGCATAAAAACCAAATAAACAAACAAAAAAACAAAACAGAATTGTCATTGATACACTGGGAACTTGATGACCTAAAATTGTTTTCTGATTCTATCCTACATTTGATAACTCTTTGTGTAGATAGGTTTCAAACGGCAGACATATTTCTAAAAAATAATTTGTGGTAACGAGATACTGGTACAATTTCTCTTGTGATACAAAATTTTAGATATAGACTTCAACTTTGATTATATCATTTGTGGGGTAGAAATGTTGGTTGGTAAATACCCAGTATTAATGTCTACAAGACTTGATATTTTAATGTTTACAGTGCAGCATACACTGTGATGATGACATTTACACTGGGCTTACACCCAGGAGTCACATTATAAAAACTGTCTGCGATCTCCAGTTGTTAAATTGATAATCCTCGTAACAATGATGCTTCTAGCACAATGTGGAATTCATCTAGCGTGCCAAGGATGTGTACGAGGTAGTTGGTAAGGCTAGGGTCACGGAAGAAAGAATGCTCCTCAAACATAGTCGCTGTCACAGGCGTGTTGGCAATCAGGGGAAGCATTTTCTGTATCACATGGTCCCTGTGGAGATAAAACAAATTATACATGGGTGGTTACCGTTAGTAACATGATATTTTACATGGGTGGTTACCGTTAGTAACATGATATTTTACATGGGTAGTTACCATTAGACAGAATGATATTTTACATGGGTAGTTACCATTAGACAGACTGATATTTTACATGGTTTGTTACCATTAGGCAGACTGATATTTTACATGGGTAGTTACCATTAGACAGACTGATATTTTACATGGTTTGTTACCATTAGGCAGACTGATATTTTACATGGGTAGTTACCATTAGACAAACATATTTTACATGGGTAGTTACCATTAGACGGACAGATAATTTACATGGGTAGTTACCATTAGACAGACAGATATTTTACATGGGTAGTTACCATTAGACAGAATGATATTTTACATGGGTAGTTACCATTAGACAGAATGATAATTTACATGGGTAGTTACCATTAGACAGAATGATAATTTACATGGGTAGTTACCATTAGACAGACAGATATTTTACATGGGTAGTTACCATTAGATGGACTGATATTTTACATGGGTAGTTACTATTAGACAGACAGATATTTTACATGGTTTGTTACCATTACATGGTTTGTTACCATTAGACAGACTGATAATTTACATGGTTTGTTACAATTAGACAGACTGATAATTTACATGGTTTGTTACCATTAGACAGAATGATATTTTACATGGGTAGTTACCATTAGACAGACAGATATTTTACATGGGTAGTTACCATTAGACAGACTGATAATTTACATGGGTAGTTACCATTAGACAGACTGATAATTTACATGGTTTGTTACCATTAGACAGACTGATAATTTACATGGTTTGTTACCATTAGACAGACTGATAATTTACATGGTTTGTTACCATTAGACAGACTGATATTTTACATGGTTTGTTACCATTAGACAGACTGATAATTTACATGGTTTGTTACCATTAGACAGACTGATAATTTACATGGGTAGTTACCATTAGACAGAATGATGTTTTACATGGTTTGTTACCATTAGACAGACAGATAATTTACATTAGACAGAATGATAATTTACATGGTTTGTTACCATTAGACAGACTGATATTTTACATGGTTTGTTACCATTAGACAGACTGATATTTTACATGGTTTGTTACCATTAGACAGACTGATATTTTACATGGTTTGTTACCATTAGACAGACAGATATTTTACAGGGTTTTTTATACTGATAATCACCTGATGCCCACACAAACAAAGATCTGGAACTTTCCATCCTTGCCAACAGTCTCGGCTGCACTATTGATCTTACTAAGGATGTTACAGAAGAGCCAGTATCCAGCCTTGGCTCCTTCTGTCATGGGACGTCTCACTTCTCCACTCAGTACACACTCAAAATGGCCTTTCACCTTCTCTGTAATATAATGTAGTACCATTCATCAACAAGATGTAATAAAAGTTACAGTAATAAAAATTTTCAAGATGGCCATCACGCCACAGTACATATGATACTTTCTTTTAATGAGTATCAATGTTAAATGACATTTACTGGAAAAGTGCAGGGACCTTTCATTTTATAGATATCCTGGGGATATACAACATGAAAAAATCATCCTTTCTTATCCATAACTTACAACCTGTAGAAAATACATTCCTTACATCTGCACCTGACCTACCTAGATAATCACATAACTGGCTGATGACATCAGTAAACTAGACATGACTTACCTAGATAATCACATAACTGGCTGATGACATCAGTAAACTAGAACATGACCTAGATAATCACATAACTGGCTGATGACATCAGTAAACTAGACATGACTTACCTAGATAACCACATAACTGGCTGATGACATCAGTAAACTAGACATGACCTACCTAGATAATCACATAACTGGCTGATGACATCAGTAAACTAGACATGACCTACCTAGATAATCACATAACTGGCTGATGGCATCAGTAAACTAGAACATGACCTAGATAACCACATAACTGGCTGATGACATCAGTAAACTAGACATGACCTACCTAGATAATCACATAACTGGCTGATGGCATCAGTAAACTAGAACATGACCTAGATAATCATATAACTGACTGATGACATCAGTAAACTAGAACATGACCTAGATATTCACATAACTGGCTGATGACATCAGTAAACTAGAACATGACCTAGATAATCACATAACTTGCTGATGACATCAGTAAACTAGACATGACCTACCTAGATAATCACATAACTGGCTGATGACATCAGTAAACTAGACATGACCTACCTAGATAATCACATAACTGGCTGATGGCATCAGTAAACTAGAACATGACCTAGATAACCACATAACTGGCTGATGACATCAGTAAACTAGACATGACCTACCTAGATAATCACATAACTGGCTGATGACATCAGTAAACTAGAACATGACCTAGATAATCATATAACTGACTGATGACATCAGTAAACTAGAACATGACCTAGATATTCACATAACTGGCTGATGACATCAGTAAACTAGAACATGACCTAGATAATCACATAACTTGCTGATGACATCAGTAAACTAGACATGACTTACCTAGATAATCACATAACTGGCTGATGACATCAGTAAACTAGACATGACTTACCTAGATAATCACATAACTTGCTGATGACATCAGTAAACTAGACATGACTTACCTAGATAATCACATAACTGGCTGATGACATCAGTAAACTAGAACATGACCTAGATAATCATATAACTGACTGATGACATCAGTAAACTAGAACATGACCTAGATAATCATATAACTGTCTGATGGCATCAGTAAACTAGAACATGACCTAGATAATCACATAACTGGCTAATGACATCAGTAAACTAGAACATGACCTAGATAATCACATAACTGGCTGATGACCTCAGTAAACTAGAACATGACTTACCTAGATAATCACATAACTGGCTAATGACATCAGTAAACTAGACATGACTTACCTAGATAATCACATAACTGGCTGATGACATCAGTAAACTAGAACATGACCTAGATAAATACATAACTGACTGATGGCATCAGTAAACTAGACATGACCTACCTAGATAATCCCAGATGAAGAACTTGTTCCTGAAGAGTCTTGAGGACCTGAAGCCACTCTGGAATACCAGCTCCATACAGTGTACTAATCCTCTGTCTCCACAAAGCAGGAATGTCAGACTACCTCGCTACAAAAACATTTATATCAGTCAATGTTTATACCGATTTTATACGTTATTTATCAAACTTTAAACTTAAGATAAAAATTTGATAGTAATAACTGTTTGTCTGATTTATAATTTGAATAATTGAATTCAAAATGATGACTGTTACATGTAACTACGAATATGTAAAGGATGAAATATATCAAGAATATATGTGTCTCAGAATCACTACCAGTACAGTGGTGTGTCCCAGAACCACTACCAGTACAGTGGTGTGTCCAAGAACCACTACCAGTACAGTGGTGTGTCCCAGAACCACTACCAGTACAGTGGTGTGTCCCAGAACCACTACCAGTACAGTGGTGTGTCCCAGAACCACTACCAGTACAGTGGTGTGTCCAAGAACCACTACCAGTACAGTGGTGTGTCCAAGAACCACTACCAGTACAGTGGTGTGTCCCAGAACCACTACCAGTACAGTGGTGTGTCCCAGAACCACTACCAGTACAGTGGTGTGTCCAGGAACCACTACCAGTACAGTGTACCACTACCAGTACAGTGTGTGTGTCCCAGAACCACTACCAGTACAGTAGTGTCCTGTGTCCCAAAACCACTACCAGTACAGTGGTGTGTCCCAGAACCACTACCAGTACAGTGGTGTGTCCAAGAACCACTACCAGCACAGTGGTGGCCTGTGTACCAGAACCTCTACCAGTACAGTGGTGTCCTGTGTCCCAGAACCACTACCAGTACAGTGGTGTCCTGTGTCCCAGAACCACTACCAGTACAGTGGTGTGTTCCAGAACCACTACCAGTACAGTGGTGTCCTGTGTCCCAGAACCACTACCAGTACAGTGGTGTGTCCAAGAACCACTACCAGTACAGTGGTGTGTCCCAGAACCACTACCAGTACAGTAGTGTCCTGTGTCCCAGAACCACTACCAGTACAGTGGTGTGTCCAAGAACCACTACCAATACAGTGGTGTGTCCCAGAACCACTACCAATACAGTGGTGTGTCCCAGAACCACTACCAGTACAGTGGTGTGTCCCAGAACCACTACCAGTACAGTGGTGGCTTGTGTACCAGAACCTCTACCAGTACAGTGGTGTGTCCCAGAACCACAACCAGTACAGTGGTGTCCTGTGTCCCAGAACCACTACCAGTACAGTGGTGTGTCCAAGAACCACTACCAGTACAGTGGTGGCCTGTGTACCAGAACCTCTACCAGTACAGTGGTGTGTCCCAGAACCACTACCAGTACAGTGGTGTCCTGTGTCCCAGAACCACTACCAGTACAGTGGTGTGTCCAAGAACCACTACCAGTACAGTGGTGTGTCCCAGAATTCACTACCAGTACAGTGGTGTGTCCCAGAACCACTACCAGTACAGTAGTGTCCTGTGTCCCAAAACCACTACCAGTACAGTAGTGTCCTGTGTCCCAAAACCACTACCAGTACAGTGGTGTCCTGTGTCCCAGAACCACTACCAGTACAGTAGTGTCCTGTGTCCCAAAACCACTACCAGTACAGTGGTGTGTCCCAGAACCACTACCAGTACAGTGGTGTGTCCAAGAACCACTACCAGTACAGTGGTGGCCTGTGTACCAGAACCTCTACCAGTACAGTGGTGCGTCCCAGAACCACTACCAGTACAGTGGTGTCCTGTGTCCCAGAACCACTACCAGTACAGTGGTGTGTTCCAGAACCACTACCAGTACAGTGGTGTCCTGTGTCCCAGAACCACTACCAGTACAGTGGTGTGTCCAAGAACCACTACCAGTACAGCGGTGTGTCCCAGAACCACTACCAGTACAGTGGTGTGTCCCAGAACCACTACCAGTACAGTAGTGTCCTGTGTCCCAAAACCACTACCAGTACAGTAGTGTCCTGTGTCCCAAAACCACTACCAGTACAGTGGTGTCCTGTGTCCCAGAACCACTACCAGTACAGTGGTGTGTCCAAGAACCACTACCAGTACAGTGGTGTGTCCCAGAACCACTACCAGTACAGTGGTGTGTCCCAGAACCACTACCAGTACAGTAGTGTCCTGTGTCCCAAAACCACTACCAGTACATTAGTGTCCTGTGTCCCAAAACCACTACCAGTACAGTGGTGTCCTGTGTCCCAGAACCACTACCAGTACAGTAGTGTCCTGTGTCCCAAAACCACTACCAGTACAGTGGTGTCCTGTGTCCCTGAACAACATCACACTTACTATGGACCATACAACATTTCCTTTAATTAACATTAGCATAAATTTCTCTACCAAGGTTTCAACATAATCGTGACTATTTACAAAGAAGAGTTAACAGGAATATGACATCAGATGTTTGTACAGCTCATATTTTATCATTACAATCAGTAAACATTCCATAAAAACGGATGTGATATCTGGGACCTGGATGTTTTAGCTGAGTAAATTCTAGTTGGAATGAAAAATGATTTCACCAATAGAAAGAAGCCATCTTGCAACTGTTAATATCGTGAAAATTGATATTTGACTAATATTTTCTTTTTCCAATACCTGCCTACCAAAGGAATATTTTAATATCAATTAACAACCCTAATCTATACTTATCAATGTTGAATAGTTTCTAATACTGGGTTATATCAAATGGTGTATTGCAATTTAATTTCGTTTAGATACAATCCAATCTTTTGAAATTCAAACAAATCAAAAGCTGTATAATTGAGTATGACCTCACCTCTTTCTCAGGCTTGTAGTAATGTTTCACTAGATTGTTGACAGCATGGCCAAGCATTTCTTGTATCATCGGAATTTTCAAATCTTGAAAAACAATACAGACAATAACAATATATATCATTAAATTTTTAATATTTAAAGTTACAACAATTAACCACACAAATCATGGCATCAATGAATGACCTATAATCGATCTATTGATAAAAAACTGACCAATATATTCATAACCGTCCTTAAAAATCTCAGTTTACAGTTTAAAATGAGGTCAAGAGGGCCTGCATCCCTCAACTGATTTTATCTGTAGTAACATTAGAGAGGTTTCCCTCAGCTTTGTCGTCATTGAATGGGAGGGGAACAATAAACAGCTGATATCAGGATGGTAGACATGTACTTACTCTGATCTGAGGACTTCTTCGGTGAGTTGGGTGACATACTCCTAGGCGACGTGGATGCCATCACAGCTAGGTCCAGTCCTGTAAGGTAAAGTCATGTAACAACATGATACACCAGTTTATACAACATACAAATCCAACTCAATCCAAAGGTTCAAAGATTATACAACAGCACAGTGACAAATATAACTCAGTTAAAATTATAGAAACCAATATATCTACTAACTATAAGGAGTGGATACTGGTGGTCTAACATCACTTCATCTCACTATGTTTCTTCAACAAGACAAGAAACAAAAGATGTCTATAGATAACATACTAATTACACAGTTAAGACAGCCAGTTTATTATTACCATCCATTTCTGAAGTTTTAGGGAGAACTTCTGCCACTAGGAGGCGCTCTGTACTCCCATCATCCACACCCTTTCCTAGCCATCGGCCACAATTAAACCTGAAATACACAAAAACAAAACAGAAATATCAGCATTTATATAAAAAATTATGCAAAGGAAGTCAATCATTTGTGTCTAGTTTAATCAAACTTGGTTTAAAGAGCATATCACTCTAAATAAACTGTTTATAAAGACAACATTTAACTCCAAAAATTGACCAAAATGAAAAATAAATCCCAAGTGCTCAACTGCCTAATATATACTGGTCATGTGTACCATACATCATAAAATCTGTCTTCTGATAGCAAGGAGTATCATAGGGTATAAAATCTGTCTTCTGACTTACTTACAAGGAGTATCATAGGGTATAAAATCTGTCTTCTGATAGCAAGGAGTATCATAGGGTATAAAATCTGTCTTCTGATAGCAAGGAGTATCATAGGGTATAAAATCTGTCTTCTGATAGCAAGGAGTATCATAGGGTATAAAATCTGTCTTCTGACTTACTTACAAGGAGTATCATAGGGTATAAAATCTGTCTTCTGACTTACTTACAAGGAGTATCATAGGGTATAAAATCTGTCTTCTGACTTACTTGTAAACATGTCCTGTGAGGTCATTGCGTACCAGGACATAGTCAACAAGCCATCGAGGTGTCATACCACTGTTGTCATGGCCAATCCTTAATGTTGTTAATACACCAAGGTTCTTATGCTGAAAGGAAAAACAAATTTTTGGTACAGGACAGTTAACTGGTGTTGACCTTTAAAACGAATAATTGATAAATGGTTCTGACACTCCTACAGAAGTTTGTATATGACAACATTTTTGTAGTCTTTGTACAAGGGTATCAGTGATTCTCTATCTATATAACCCACTTTAAGGATAATGGCATGTTTTAATAATGAAATTCTTAAAGTTTGTTTCTAACCCTTCCTTGATGAAATTCACACCTTTTTAGTGAAAATTTCCAATCATTGCCCACCCCCTACTTTTAAGATAATACCTATTCTAGTACTGTAAATTCCCTAATACTTATATTTCATTAACTTACTTCTTTAGAATTATCAGCGACTACATGAATCTGTGATCAGTGATCTAAAAATTACTTTAAATTCACAAATGATGGGCTGATAGATATATGGACTCTGATATCAGTGAATGAATCAGCACAAATGTCATCATTTCTGTACAAATAATCCTGAGAGATTTGAATTCAAGATTATCTCCTCTTGCGTATAAATGTCAAAATAAACCCCACATGAAATATGTGATTAACAGTAACCACCTAATCCCACATGAAATATCAGTGTTTAACAGTAACCGCCTAATCCCACATGAAATATAAGTGTTTAACAGTAATCGCCTAATCCCACATGAAATATCAGTGATTAACAGTAACCACCTAATCCCACATGAAATATCAGTGTTTAACAGTAACCACCTAATCCCACATGAAATATAAATGTTTAACAGTAATCGCCTAATCCCACATGAAATATCAGTGTTTAACAGTAATCGCCTAATCCCACATGAAATATAAATGTTTAACAGTAACCGCCTAATCCCACATGAAATATAAATGTTTAACAGTAATCGCCTAATCCCACATGAAATATAAATGTTTAACAGTAATCGCCTAATCCCACATGAAATATCAGTGTTTAACAGTAATCGCCTAATCCCACATGAAATATAAATGTTTAACAGTAATCGTCTAATCCCACATGAAACATAAATGTTTAACAGCAATCGCCTAATCCCACATGAAATATAAGTGTTTAACAGTAATCGCCTAATCCCACATGAAATATAAATGTTTAACAGTAATCGCCTAATCCCACATGAAATATAAATGTTTAACAGTAATCGCCTAATCCCACATGAAATATAAATGTTTAACAGTAATCGCCTAATCCCACATGAAATATCAGTAATTAACAGTAACCGCCTAATACCACATGAAATATAAATGTTTAACAGTAATCGCCTAATCCCACGTGAAATATAAATGTTTAACAGTAATCGCCTAATCCCACATGAAATATCAGTGATTAACAGTAACCGCCTAATCCCACATGAAATATCAGTCATTAACAGTAACCGCCTAATCCCACATGAAATATAAGTGTTTAACAGTGATCGCCTAATCCCACATGAAATATAAGTGTTTAACAGTAATCGCCTAATCCCACATGAAATATAAATGTTTAACAGTAACCGCCTAATCCCACATGAAATATAAATGTTTAACAGTAATCGCCTAATCCCACATGAAATATAAATGTTTAACAGTAATCGCCTAATCCCACATGAAATATCAGTGTTTAACAGTAATCGCCTAATCCCACATGAAATATAAATGTTTAACAGTAATCGCCTAATCCCACATGAAATATAAATGTTTAACAGTAATCGCCTAATCCCACATGAAATATCAGTAATCGCCTAATCCCACATGAAATATAAATGTTTAACAGTAATCGCCTAATCCCACATGAAATATAAATGTTTAACAGTAACCGCCTAATCCCACATGAAATATCAGTGTTTAACAGTAATCGCCTAATCCCACATGAAATATAAGTGTTTAACAGTAATCGCCTAATCCCACATGAAATATCAGTGTTTAACAGTAATCGCCTAATCCCACATGAAATATCAGTGTTTAACAGTAATCGCCTAATCCCACATGAAATATCAGTGTTTAACAGTAATCGCCTAATCCCACATGAAATATAAGTGTTTAAGAGTAACCGCCTAATCCCACATGAAATATCAGTGATTAACAGTAACCGCCTAATCCCACATGAAATATAAGTGTTTAACAGTAATCGCCTAATCCCACATGAAATATAAGTGTTTAACAGTAATCGCCTAATCCCACATGAAATATCAGTGTTTAACAGTAATCGCCTAATCCCACATGAAATATCAGTGTTTAACAGTAATCGCCTAATCCCACATGAAATATCAGTGTTTAACAGTAATCGCCTAATCCCACATGAAATATCAGTGTTTAACAGTAATCGCCTAATCCCACATGAAATATAAATGTTTAACAGTAATCGCCTAATCCCACATGAAATATCAGTGTTTAACAGTAATCGCCTAATCCCACATGAAATATCAGTGTTTAACAGTAATCGCCTAATCCCACATGAAATATCAGTGATTAACAGTAACCGCCTAATCCCACATGAAATATCAGTGTTTAACAGTAATCGCCTAATCCCACATGAAATATCAGTGTTTAACAGTAATCGCCTAATCCCACATGAAATATAAGTGTTTAACAGTGATCGCCTAATCCCACATGAAATATCAGTGATTAACAGTAACCGCCTAATCCCACATGAAATATCAGTGTTTAACAGTAATCGCCTAATCCCACATGAAATATAAATGTTTAACAGTAATCACTTCAGTGATTATTAGAAGGAATACCATAACTAACCTCAAGGTTGAACTCTAGGAGACCTTTTGGTATCTCTGTGACCCCAGTTTCTCCAGCCTGGCCCGCCAGGTTGATCCAGGGGTTAGCACTCGTTGTAGAACATCCAAACTTAGGACAAGGATAGATGAGGATTTTGTAAGGGACCACTGAAAAGACAGACAACAGTTGATGATAAAAGGGAGTCTCCACCCTGTAGTTGACGTGTATCAATAGGGAGATGGAGGAATACATTTCTTTTGATGTCACTTTTTTTTACGTTTTATTGATTATAGAATGAGTTGCTTGGTCTGGAACAGGTCACTAAAAATCCATGTCTCTTGCCATCACTTGGCCTTGTCTACTAGACTAAGTGTTAAGGTGATAGGACGGGGTGACCTGCAACTCACTGTAAGGGGTAGATTGATCAGGGAATATCTATTTTGAGATAACAGCCAGTCATACAGGCAGGACCTTTGGCCAAGAGATTGCCAGTATGTCTAACCCTTGTTACCTGGGCCATACTTGTGTCTACCTCTTGTTACCTGGGCCTTACTTGTGTCTACCTCTTGTTACCAGGACCTTACTTGTGTCTACCTCTTGTTACCTGGGCCTTACTTGTGTCTACCTCTTGTTACCTGGGCTATACTTGTGTCTACCTCTTGTTACCTTGGCTATACTTGTGTCTACCTCTTGTTACCTGGGCAATACTTGTGTCTACCTCTTGTTACCTGGGCTATACTTGTGTCTACCCCTTGTTACCAGGACCTTACTTCTGTCTACCTCTTGTTACCTGGGCCTTACTTGTATCTACCCCTTGTTACCAGGACCTTACTTGTGTCTACCCCTTGTTACCAGGACCTTACTTGTGTCTACCCTTTGTTACCAGGACATTACTTGTGTCTACCCCAGGTAACCAAGACCTTACTTGTATCTGCCCCAGGTAACCAAGACCTTACTTGTGTCTATCCTTTGTAACCAGGAACTTACTTGTGTCTACCCCTTGTAATCAGGACATTACTTGCGTCTACCCCTTGTTACCAGTTCCTCACTTGTGTCTACCCCCTGTAACCAGAACCTTACTTGTGTCTACCCCTGGAAACCAAGACCTTACTTGTGTCTACCCCTTGTTACCAAGACCTTACTTGTGTCTACCCCATGTAACCAGGACCTTACTTGTGTCTACCCCTTGTTACCAGGACCTTACTTGTGTCTACCCTTTGTTACCAGGACATTACTTGTGTCTACCCCAGGTAACCAAGACCTTACTTGTATCTGCCCCAGGTAACCAAGACCTTACTTGTGTCTATCCTTTGTAACCAGGACCTTACTTGTGTCTACCCCTTGTAATCAGGACATTACTTGCGTCTACCCCTTGTTACCAGTTCCTCACTTGTGTCTACCCCCTGTAACCAGAACCTTACTTGTGTCTACCCCTGGAAACCAAGACCTTACTTGTGTCTACCCCTTGTTACCAAGACCTTACTTGTGTCTACCCCATGTAACCAGGACCTTACTTGTGTCTACCCCTTGTAACCAAGACCTTACTGGTGTCTACCCCTTGTAACCAGGACATTACTTGTGTCTACCCCTTGTAACTAGGACATTACTTGTGTCTACCCCTTGTTACCAGGGCCTTACTTGTGTCTACCCCATATAACCAGGACCTTACTTGTGTCTGCCCCTTGTAACCAACACCTTACTTGTGTCTACCTCTTATTACCTGGGCCTTACTTGTGTCTACCCCTTATTACCAGGACCTTACTTGTGTCTACCCCATGTAACCAAGGCCTTACTTGTGTCTACCCCTTGTTACCAGGACCTTACTTGTGTCTACCCCATGTAACCAGGACATTACTTGTGTCTACCCCTTGTTACCTGGGCCTTACTTGTGTCTACCCCTTGTTACCAGGACCTTACTTGTGTCTACCCCTTGTTACCAGGACCTTACTTGTGTCTACCCCTTGTTACCTGGGCCTTACTTGTGTCTACCCCTTGTTACCAGGACCTTACTTGTGTCTACCCCTTGTTACCAGGACCTTACTTGTGTCTACCCCTTGTTACCAGGACCTTACTTGTGTCTACCCCTTGTTACCTGGGCCTTACTTGTGTCTACCCCTTGTTACCAGGACCTTACTTGTGTCTACCCCTTGTAACCAAGACCTTCCTTGTGTCTACCCCTTGTTACATCTACCTTACTTGTGTCTACCCCTTGTTACCAGGACCTTACTTGTGTCTACCCCTTGTAACCAGGGCCTTGTGTCTTCTCCTTGTTACTAGAACCTTACTTGTGTTTGTGAAGCTGTTGGTGAAGCAGGAGTAGTCTACAGCATTCAGAGACAGGAGATGATACAAAAACTGTTCCCTCTCATCTTCACATCTCAGGAACGCATACCGCTTATAGAGACTTCTGTAAATATATCAGGAACGCATACAATTTATCTAGACTTCTGTAAATATATCATGATCTTATACCGTTCACAAAATAAACCATTAACACTATCATGAGATTGCCCAATGAATTAAATCTCACTAACCTTAGAAGCTCAGCATTGCTAAGTAAGATCTTGAGGTGGGCAGACAGAACTTTCTTCTCTAGTGCTAATCTCACCCAGGCACGAGCATACCCAACATCAGTCCGGATCTCAGTCATCTGCTGGACCTTTCTGTAAAGAGAAACAGCAATCTGTAGCTTTTAATGTGTAAAACAGAAACCTAGGTATGACCTTAGTGAATAAAATCTCTAATCTAGTCTAAGATCAAATTAATGAGACTCAATGGGTCTGTGTCATCCACTGTCATTCAGTGCTGTTGACAAACAAATCTGTGATCTACACTATGGTTAAAGAAAAATTCAAATTAACTAAATAACAAGCAAGCAACAACCAAAACACTACAAGATATGTAACTTTGTTTAAAGTTTTTTTTATTTAGTTCGAATTTACACTAAGGTGGCAATGGACAAAACATTGCATCATGACACAAAATATTGCTCTTGCACTTTGGGCTGTAAGATAAGTGTCTGGAAGACATCCAGTATGCCAACAAATACTGACTATTGGAGGCAAGACAGACACTGATGATTGGAGGCAAGACAGACACTGATGACTGGAGGCAAGACAGACACTGACTATTGGAGGCAAGACAGACACTGATGATTGGAGGCAAGACAGACACTGATGATTGGAGGCAAGACAGACACTGACTATTGGAGGCAAGACAGACACTGACTATTGGAGGCAAGACAGACACTGACTATTGGAGGCAAGACAGACACTATCTATTGGAGGCAAGACAGACACTGACTATTGGAGGCACGACAGACACTGACTATTGGAGGCAAGACAGATACTGACTATCAGAAGTAAGACAGACACTAACTATTGGAGGCAAGACAGACACTGACTATTGGAGGCAAGACAGACACTGTCTTTTGGAGGCAAGACAGATACTGACTATCAGAAGTAAGACAGACACTAACTATTGGAGGCAGGACAGACACTGGCTATTGGAGGTAAGACAGACACTGACTATTGGAGGCAAGACAGACACTATCTATTGGAGGCAAGACAGACACTGACTATTGGAGGCAAGACAGACACTGATGATTGGAGGCAAGACAGACACTGACTATTGGAGGCAAGACAGACACTGATGATTGGAGGCAAGACAGACACTGACTATTGGAGGCAAGACAGACACTATCTATTGGAGGCAAGACAGACACTGACTATTGGAGGCAAGACAGACACTGACTATTGGCGACAATACAAACACTAACTATTAGAGGCAGGACAGACACTTACTATTGGAGGCAAGACTTTGCCATCAATTTTCAGATCAGTAGCACAAGTGGAACTAAAGAAGAATTTTAAAATTCAAGATGGTGGCCATATTGGATTTCACATCAACCCGAAAAATGACAATTCTTGGTCAGGGGCATCTTAGAATCATTTCAGGCATTTCAACTGAATTTCACTGTTGGAACTTAAGAAGTTTTAAATGTAAAAAGTTCATTTATGCATGCCATGTCATGACGGCTATAGGTCATCATGACCTTTCAGGCAAGATGGCTTCAAAATTGCTAAAAAACAAAAAGAAGAGCCGCTAATTGTTTCTACAATGCTCACCTTAAAGCAAATGTAATTGATGAGGGAAGTGGAATAAGGGAAGGTAACTCTAATTGTTTCTACAATGCTAACCTTAAATCAAATGTAATTGATGAGGGAAGTGGGTTCAGGGTAGGTAACTCTATCTAATTGTTTCTACAATGCTAACCTTAAATCAAATGTAATTGATGAGGGAAGTGGGTTCAGGGTAGGTAACTCCAATTGTTACTACAATGCCCACCTTAAATCAAATGTAATAGATGAGGGAAGTGGGTTCAGGGTAGGTAACTCTATCTAATTGTTTCTACAATGCCCACCTTAAATCAAATGTAATAGATGAGGGAAGTGGGTTCAGGGTAGGTAACTCTATCTAATTGTTTCTACAATGCTCACCTTAAATCAAATGTAATGGATGAGGGAAGTGGGCTCAGGGTAGGTAACTCTATCCGCCCTGTGCTACCTTTACGACGGTGAGTTTTACGTTCCAGTGAGCGAGTTCCATCTGTGATTGACATCCCGGACATATCTGTAAAGAAGAAGGTATATTATGTTAGTACCGAGTATAAACATGGACTAGTGACACTACACAGTTATACTGCATATATCAACTGCTCATCTCTCTCTCTCTCTCTCTCTATATATATATATACACTTAAATCTTAAAATGATAAATAAGTTGTACATCAAGAAGGTTATAATTATAATGAATGGATAAGTGGTCATTGTTCATGTAAGAGAATGTACCAACAGTTTATCTAACACAACACCAAAATATGAGGAAAGAACCTACACATATACAAATCAGAGTATACAGATCTGGTCATGTGACAAATCATCAAGTATACAGATCTGGTCATGTGACAAATCATTATGTATACAAATCTGGTCATGTGACTTATGATTGCATTATCAATCTAAATATAGATATCAATCAGCAGGTTATATCTAATATCTTCACAAACATTTAAACAGCAGTTATTCTACAGTATTTAGAACTACAGACATTCAATCTATTCTTGTAAATACACTAACAGTATATATTTGAGTATGAATCCATGCTTAGCCAGTACTACAACATAACAGATCAATGGTGGTTTAAAGGCTAAAAAAGTTGTATATCTGTTCACACACACATGCAAGATGGATCTGATCTGAGTAAATATATATCTGGAGGTCACTCCTTCAACATAAAAGGCAACATTCACAACTTTAGCTATCTAATACTAGTAGACGTTTCACACAGAAAGTTTACATCATGCTGGTTATTGACAAAATTTACTACTGATAGGTTTAACATTTAAAAAGCAATGCTTCCGAAAATGTGCCCGAGTTCTCAATCTACAGCTGATAATGATGATACGCTAAAGAAACCTTTATGGTAGAAAAGCTGGATGTTCAAGGGAAGTCATGCTATGGAAACAGTAGAAATGTTTCAAAAATAAAATTACACAACATCATAATGAAGTTCAACTACAAAGTTGGTAGGACGATGCAAAAATTAAACAGAAAAACGAATCGATAAAATAAATTGACATGTAAATAACATAGAATGTGTAGACATGAAGCTGTTCACAAGGTGCATGACAGCCATAGATTAATACACATTTGTTCTGTGTAACAGAGACAATTTTTCAGCACCCTGTTATAGAGTTATAACACAAAGCTATTTTACAGTCATCATATTCACATCAAAATGTATTGAATCAGAATTCCAATAAGAATTTGAAATGAGATGAAATCCTGATGCTGTCACTGCTTATATGATGACAGCTGCTGTGGCAGATTCTTAAAGGATGATGGTAGAACCAGCATCCGGTACAATATTATCGTCATCATAACAAATGAAACAACACTATGTAATCATTTCCCCCGGGTGCCTCCTGAAACTTAAGTGCCAAAATCTACAAGAACTTTTTTCAGCCAAATTATTCAAAAGCATGCAAGCGAAGAATATTCTATAAGAAAAACAAAAAGTATGCAAAATGAACGAACTGAAAGCAAATTGAAGTATGCCACTATTAAAAACAAAATATTTCTGAAATGGTAAAATGTAACACCAAGAAAAAGCGGATGAATTTCTAATGAGGCAAAGTAAGGGTAAAATGTATCATGTACACAACTAGACATGATGTGTGACAACTGAGTACAAGGCCACAATCACAGGACAATACAAGCTGATGATACCGGAGTGACGTACATGTATTCTGATACCGCCTACGCAGGACACACCATGCCATAGCTAGTGGGGCCGCAAAGGAAATCAGGTTACAGCATTAGTTCAGGAGGCCCCAAACAGGGAAAAATGATTGTAGTAATATATAGATTATAGCTTCTAATGAGGCCCCAAACAAGGAAAAATTATTACAGTAATATATAGTTTTATAGCTTCTAATGAGGCCCCAAACAGGGAAAAAATATTACAGTAAATATACAGTTATATAGATTCTAATGAGGCCCCAAACAGGAGGAAAATGACAACAATGACATCAAGTTATAGAGCTTTTAATGAAGCCCCAAACAGGGAAAAAAATTATAGTTATATAACTACTAATGAAACCATTAGGAGACCCCTATCTGTAGGTGAAATGGAGAATCAAAAACTGTCTGAGGAGTCTTGTTGACAAATCCTAACAACAAAAATCACTTATAATATTAATTCATTATCTTACAAAAAATAACACAAGTAGAATTTTGTTGACATCCAAGATATACAACTTTTACTGTTTACTAGTACTTCACAGGCACAAATGATCTCCCCCCCAAAAAGACAAGTTTACTTATTACTCTCTTAAAACAGTTCACTTATTATTCCCTCAAACAAGCTGAATTATTACTCCCTTAAAAATTTTACGAACTATTTCTCAAATAAGTTTACTTATGCGTACTTGTCAAATTGATGATATAGTGTTGTTCAACATAAATAGCGAGAACATGATTAGCACTTAAGAAGAAATTGCTGTGGTGATATAAGTCAGAAAGAGGCTAGCTTTACTGTGTGTACAGCCTACAGGTGATGTGAACACGAAAAAAAGATCAACTGACCAATGGTCAGTGAGGTCTGGCCATCAAATTGGAGTTCCATATCACCAGATCAATGTTAATTTCCTGTCTTATATATCAGATTGACAGAAAGATAAGCAGATATCTGTATACCCCCTCTCTTCATTACAGGGTAGAGAGGGGAGATTATAAATGTACTGCTATGTCAAAAGTTATAGTTGTCATAGTTGGTAACATAGCCTCAAAAAATGGCTACATATATATATACATTTATTAGATTATTGGATATGTTGTCTTCATGAAAACAGATTGATGCTATACATTGTCTACACTTTCAAAATATTGACAGTACACAGTACAGATAAAAGTTACAGTGATATGGTGTTGGAGCTCGTTCTGACGAGGACTGTACTTACTACAGATCGACAGATACACATCAACAACAGACGACAATTCCGCCTGGTTCATGGCCAACTCCGACTTATCTTCTGGAGCAAATAGTATTTCTACGTGTGAGCACAAATACCTGAACACCTACCACCTGACAGTTTGTTTTGTGTAGGTCTAGGGCGACCTTGTTTTCATATCATATTACCCCAAATGGTACCCCAAATGGTACATATTACTTCAAATGGTATATATTACCCCAAATGGTATATATTACCTCAAATTGTACATATTACACCAAATGGTACATATTACCCAAAATGGTACCCCAAGTAGTACATATTACCTCAAATGGTACATATTACCCTAAATGTTACCCAAAATGATACATATTACCCCACATGGTACCTCAAATGATACATATTACCTTAAATAGTGCAAATTGTACTCATAATGCACATTATCCTTAAATTGCCTATTTCATCCATTATGCACATTATTCTATGAATACATATTGGCCCCACAATGAATATTATTCCTATAGAACATCCCCATAACATTAAAAAAACATGAATTAAGAACGCTAAGAAATACAGATATTCTAGAATAATAATAAGTACACATATATGATATCATCAGCAGATTATTTCATTAATGATGATGAATCATTAGCTATAATGGTTACAATGTTCTATATGTACAAGAATATAACTAAATACTATCCCAGGAAATCATCATCTTCCTAAGTGAACCTTTCAAACACTCCTTACTGGTCACATGACATTTTAATTTGAAATATGGTCTTAATAGAAAGAAGGTGTAGGTAATATACTTTAAATATAATGAGTGATATTTACGAAAGTAAATCTACAAACCAAACATTCTACGTCACAACTCAACCAAATCATACAGAAATAAGGTAAAAAGAAATAGAAAGTTAATGAAATAATTCATATATGTTTTATATACACGAGCATGCATCATCTGTAAGCTGTTGTAACACTTGACAAAATACATCGCAGTATTAAGGATAGCCAACATGTCCACCCCATTTGATACATCAGAGTAGTAGTAAACTCATTCTGTGTAGTGGTGTAGATATGTACCACATCATATCAATCCATTATCGTGAATGGGAACACAATTTGAGAATTATTTTGTATTTGATTCGCTCATTCAAATCACAATCATGCACTTGCACTATAGATTCCCTCTGTCCAAGAGAGACAAGTGATATTTATCATTTAATAATTGTTATTTTTGAGGGACATGATGTCCAATTCTGCAGATGTTACAGGGGATCTTAAAATCTTAATATCACATTACTCATCATGAAAATCAATGACTGGTAAGATATCATTATATAATCAGAATAGAGGTAGCTTAGGACTTTGTCAAGACTACATACACCACATCATCACTAAGTACAGGTTTTCTTATACACAACAAGGTTTATAGTACCTGTACATAGACTCTGGACTAAAAACTCCCCATACTACAGGGACAAAGGCAGGTTTAAATCAAAGAATAATAACCACTTAAAAAATGCTGAAAAACTAAACTAAATGAAAATTACAAAAATGCTAAAATAATCATTAATGAAAGAATTGTGATCATAGAATAAACTCAGAAAACAAAACCAACCCACCAAAGAGGCTATGTTACATAAATACATGTTACAGTAACAAAGCGTGGTGACCACAACCACAGCTTACCTATACATCGACTTTGTTCCCACTCCAACCAGTTGTCATTTGGGACAGGATGAGTTACCTCCCCTGGTGAAATAGGCCTTCTATTATCTATATATAAACATTTATTGGTGAAGTTGATGCCAGTATGTTACCCAACTCCTCAGTAACATTTCATAGAATTCATTGTACTTTGGGGCAATAACTTCTCAATATCAGTAGTACTTAGGGGAGATAACTGCACAGAATCAATGATAATGAGGGCAGAACATTTATCAATATCAGTAGTACTTAGGGGAGATAACTGTACTTAATCAATGATACTGAGAACAGAACAATTATCAATATCAGTAGCTCTGAGGGGAGATAACTGTACTTAATAAGTGATACTGAGGGCAGAACAATTATCAATATCAGTAGTACTGAGGGGAGATAACTGTACAATATCATCAATATTGAATGGAGGTAAGGTTCAATGTTTCCCATGACATGTAATAAGAAAAGTTACAAGGAAAGGTAATCAAATTATTTGGAACAAGAGGACATAATCAAATACTGCATAAAGGGAGGTAATCAGATCAATTCAGTAAAGGTTATATCACAACAATTAATTACAGGGAGCTGCAGAAATTAAAGGTTTAGTTGTATTGAATGATTAACACAGAAATAGGTATTATAACTTATTGTGTTAGCTTCTACTGCAAGTGAGTGATTTATTAGTGACTTTAGTATAAATGGTCCACACAGCTTACAAAATGCTACAAGTACCCCTATATCAATCAGCTATATTTACACCTGATAAAAACATTCCTTTAATTATCTAGTTACTGTTAGTATGAAAATACTCATTTGGATACTACTCCTCCTATTTTGTTATCATCTATCTATTTTGATACTGTCCTCCTATTTTAGTACTGTCCTCCTATTTTGATACTGTCCTCCTATTTTGATACTGTCCTCCTATTTTGATACTGTCCTCCTATTTTGATACTGTCCTCCTATTTTGGTACCATCCTCATACAGTCTTCCTATTTTGGTACAGTCCTCCTATCTAGGTACAGTCCTCCTAATTTGGTACAGTCCTCCTAATTTGGTACAGTCCTCCTCTCTAGGTACAGTCCTCCTATTTTGGTACAGTCCTCCTAATTTGGTACAGTCCTCCTATCTAGGTACAGTCCTCCTATTTTGGTACAGTCCTCCTAATTTGGTACAGTCCTCCTTTCTAGGTACAGTCCTCCTATTTTGGTACAGTCCTCCTAATTTGGTACAGTCCTCCTAATTTGGTACAGTCCTCCTATCTAGGTACAGTCCTCCTATTTTGGTACAGTCCTCCTAATTTGGTACAGTCCTCCTTTCTAGGTACAGTCCTCCTATTTTGGTACAGTCCTCCTAATTTGGTACAGTCCTCCTATCTAGGTACAGTTCTCCTAATTTGGTACAGTCCTCCTATTTCGGTACAGTTCTCCTAATTTGGTACAGTCCTCTTAATTTGGTACAGTCCTCCTATCTAGGTACAGTCCTCCTAATTTGGTACAGTCCTCCTCTCTAGGTACAGTCCTCCTATTTTGGTACAGTCCTCCTAATTTGGTACAGTCCTCTTAATTTGGTACAGTCCTCCTAATTTGGTACAGTCCTCCTCTCTAGGTACATCCTATTTTGACAGTCATTCTATTTATAACAGTCATTATTTTTATAACAGTCATTCTATTCATCTTTAGTTGTAGATGCCTATGTTGGTCTTTACACAAAAAGATTTGTGGAAGATATGTCCAAAAACTTGAGGACAAGGCCAAACTAGTTACCAAGACTGCTCCCAGAAACCTGCCTATCTGTATTGGAGATCTAAGGTCAAATACAGACTTCTGTCATTTTCCATATCACATCAGACAGCTACTTTCTTACACTCAGTCTGTGTTTCATACCTACATATTTATATATGTATATAAACACATTTAAACAGACAATTACCTGGTGATAGTAAGTTGGTATCCAGAAACTTGTTGCCTTGGTTACACTCATCTAACTCCTGGAAACTCTTTAAATGGGACCAAAGAGCAGACTTTCCCTGCAGGAAAAACATGTGTAACACAGCTTAATATAACAATGTCAGTGACAACTGTATCAGTGGTTCATGATCATCTGAATTTGATGCTACAATGATCTGAAGATGAAGCCTTGTCTTATAATGAATGTATTTCTTGATTAATAACAAGTTGACTTGTTCACCATTTATGATGCGTATTATTGTGGATATGTGAACACCAGGACCATGATCAATACAAACTGAAACAGAGCATTAGTAATGACTCACAAGTGGTGCAATAACAGATTAGTCTCAGTCAGTAACAATCAGCTCAAATACATCAATAAACATATATAACATCGTTCTACTGGCTTAATTCTTCAGAAGCCAATCAGTGAGTGAGTGATGACCTTAATTTTGGATCACACAAACTCTGACAATGACTGGGTCAGAGGTCAATACACGTCGTTGAAAACTTAACAACCCATAACTTAAAACATACATGTACAATTGGTGACTCTTCATGAAATAGTATTGGAAGCACCAGACAATATTTTGACATGGAAGGCTGGCATAAAGACGATGACAGATGACATATAAATTTACTGTGTCCTCTTTAAATACTTTGTAGGAACAAGTGAACACAAAGTTTACCTTTTTAAACTGTATGCCATGCCCCCAGATCCTCTCTAACAGGTCACACAGACTGGCAATCAGGGTATTTTCCTCCACGCCTGTGATGTTACCATGTCCAAGCTCCACTGCCTCATGGCCCATCTTATCCACCAGTAAACGTTTTGTCTGCACACAATTTTATCAGTTTTCAGAGCGTTTCAAATACAAAGACCAGCATTTACATGACAAAGATATTGGCACCTTGTCCAACATATAGGCTCCTTAAACTAAAACATTCACCTTAAACTAAAACATTCACCGAAGGAAAAGTCATATTCAACATCGACTCAGTATACTGTAACATCTTATTAAAATCCCAATAAGAGCCACAATTGTCTTACTAACATTGCCACTCTTATAAACAGACAGAATAACATGCCCAGAATAACACTCATAACAATCTCTTGCTTTTTGACTTATACTCCTCCAGCAAGGCCTTGTCTAAAACCTACATTCAGGATAAATATACACTCCTCCAGTAAGGCCTTGTCTAAAACCTACATTCAGGATAAACATACACTCCTCCAGTAAGGCCTTGTCTAAAACCTACATTCAGGATAAACATACACTCCTCCAGTAAGGCCTTGTCTAAAACCTACATTCAGGATAAACATACACTCCTCCAGTAAGGCCTTGTCTAAAACCTACATACAGGATAAACATACACTCCTCCAGTAAGGCATTGTCTAAAACCTACATACAGGATAAACATACACTCCTCCAGTAAGGCCTTGTCTAAAACCTACATTCAGGATAAACATACACTCCTCCAGTAAGGCCTTGTCTAAAACCTACATACAGGATAAACATACACTCCTCCAGTAAGGCCTTGTCTAAAACCTACATTCAGGATAAACATACACTCCTCCAGCAAGGCCTTGTCTAAAACCTACATTCAGGATAAACATACACTCCTCCAGTAAGGCCTTGTCTAAAACCTACATACAGGATAAACATACACTCCTCCAGTAAGGCCTTGTCTAAAACCTACATACAGGATAAATATACACTCCTCCAGTAAGGCCTTGTCTAAAACCTACATTCAGGATATATATTCAGGATGATCACTTTCCTGAAATTTACACTCAATTACTTACCTTAGATTTACAATCCAGAAGGCCCTAATCAATAACATACACTCAGAATAGATTTACACTACAGTAGGCCCTAATCAAAAATCTAGACTCAGGATAGTCACCTACCTGAGATTTATACCCTGTAACCTTAGATTTACACTCCAGAAGGCCCTAATCAATAACATACACTCAGGAGAGTCACCTACCTGAGATTTATACCCAATAACTTACCTTAGATTTACACTCCAGTAGGCCCTAATCAATAACATACACTCAGGAGAGTCACCTACCTGAGATTTATACCCAATAACTTACCTTAGATTTACACTCCAGTAGGCCCTAATCAATAACATACACTCAGGAGAGTCACCTACCTGAGATTTATACCCAATAACTCACCTTAGATTTACACTCCAGTAGGCCCTAATCAATAACATACACTCAGGATAGATTTACACTCCAGTAGGCCCTAATCAATAACATACACTCAGGAGAGTCACCTACCTGAGATTTATACCCAACAACTCACCTTAGATTTACACTCCAGTAGGCCCTAATCAATAACATACACTCAGGAGAGTCACCTACCTGAGATTTATACCCAATAACTTACCTTAGATTTACACTCCAGTAGGCCCTAATCAATAACATACACTCAGGAGAGTCACCTACCTGAGATTTATACCCAACAACTCACCTTAGATTTACACTCCAGTAGGCCCTAATCAATAACATACACTCGGATAGTCACCTACCTGAGATTTATACCAATAACTCACCTTAGATTTACACTCCAGTAGGCCCTAATCAATAACATACACTCGGATAGTCACCTACCTGAGATTTATACCCAACAACTCACCTTAGATTTACACTCCAGTAGGCCCTAATCAATAACATACACTCGGATAGTCACCTACCTGAGATTTATACCCAACAACTCACCTTAGATTTACACTCCAGTAGGCCCTAATCAATAACATACACTCAGGAGAGTCACCTACCTGAGATTTATACCCAATAACTCACCTTAGATTTACACTCCAGTAGGCCCTAATCAATAACATACACTCAGGAGAGTCACCTACCTGAGATTTATACCCAATAACTCACCTTAGATTTACACCCATGATTTGCTCACCTTTGATTTACACTCCTGTAAGAGTGTTTCCACAAATTTCCAGTTGGTCTGGGCCATGCTTGCCGGAGACATGTCTGACAGTTTGGGTTGACGCAGACCTTTAGTTCTTGCCTCCTGCATATATTTCTGATAAATAAAAAGTGTGATGAAATATTTCAATAATTCTTCATTTAAACATAATTGCACATTAATCAGTTATTAAATAAGTTACTAAACTGTGTTAGATGTAAACATTTTTGAGTAATTCTAATATTCATACAGACCAATGGTAATACACACTTATAATGGTATCCACATTGGCCCGTGGATATGTATCAGTACCATAGTACAAAGAATTCTTGTCTATATCTTATAACTATTATAGAGGTTCAGGTGGAAAGACTGACCTCTTATTAATTAAAATAAGTGTGTAATCACAGAACATATTCAGATCAACAACAATCCCCAAATTACCAAGTAATACATACAAACATAAATATTGTGTATATCATGGGGAAATTATAAATTTCTTCTCATTAATGCAAATTCTAAACGTGATACTAATGTGATAAAATAGATTTTAAAGTCAGAAAAGTAAACCGAATTTTTTCTATTTGAAACAGCTAACAGACAATAAATGTTTGTATCATGATTAACATAAGAATGGACAATTAATCATTATCCATGCACAAACAATACATTTAGTGAACATTCAGATTATAATCATCATTTATCATGCTGTGGACATATCTAAGTATCATTGTTGATTAGAAGAAAGCAGAAAGTCATTTGATGTTGACTGGAAAAGTGATGAAGTCATGACTGAAAACCACAAAGGGATGAGCATGGCTAATGATTCTCAGTGTAGTGTTAAATTCTCTTGGAGGAAGTTCAGAATTCAGTATTCTACAGATTAGGCAGAAACCTATGATCGATTTCTAACCAATGCTGACAATAAATATATACCAGTACATAATAGTCTGGTAGACCTGATATATCTGTAATGGTTACACACCTATGTCACCAGTCTATATAATATCTCTCTATACCAGTACATAATAGTCTTGTAGACCTGATATATCTGTAATGGTTACAGGACACACCTATGTCACCAGTCTATATAATATCTCTCTATACCAGTACATAATAGTCTGGTAGACCTGATATATCTGTAATGGTTACACACCTATGTCACCAGTCTATATAATATCTCTCTATACCAGTACATAATAGTCTGGTAGACCTGATATATCTGTAATGGTTACACGCCTATGTCACCAGTCTATATAATATCTCTCTATACCAGTACATAATAGTCTGGTAGACCTGATATATCTGTAATGGTTACACGCCTATGTCACCAGTCTATATAATATCTCTCTATACCAGTACATAATAGTCTGGTAGACCTGATATATCTGTAATGGTTACACGCCTATGTCACCAGTCTATATAATATCTCTCTATACCAGTACATAATAGTCTGGTAGACCTGATATATCTGTAATGGTTACACGCCTATGTCACCAGTCTATATAATATCTCTCTATACCAGTACATAATAGTCTGGTAGACCTGATATATCTGTAATGGTTACAGGACACACCTATGTCACCAGTCTATATAATATCTCTCTATACCAGTACATAATAGTCTGGTAGACCTGATATATCTGTAATGGTTACAGGACACACCTATGTCACCAGTCTATATAATATCTCTCTATACCAGTAAATAATAGTCTGGTAGACCTGATATATCTGTAATGGTTACACACCTATGTCACCTGTCTATATAATATCTCTCTATACCAGTACATAATAGTCTTGTAGACCTGATATATCTGTAATGGTTACAGGACACACCTATGTCACCAGTCTATATAATATCTCTCTATACCAGTACATAATAGTCTTGTAGACCTGATATATCTGTAATGGTTACACGCCTATGTCACCAGTCTATATAATATCTCTCTATACCAGTACATAATAGTCTGGTAGATCTGATATATCTGTAATGGTTACACACCTATGTCACCAGTCTATATAATATCTCTCTATACCAGTACAGTACAATATTACAGAGCTATGTATGGTATAGTTGCCTTATGGATAGCTCTGAATCATACAGCACTCTTTCACTGTAGACTAACACACAGAACATTTTCACAAATTTTCCAGGTTTTAAATGTTTTCAGTAGGAGTTCCAACATTCAAATTGGAAGAAAAGTTCATCACAGTCACAGAGATTTAAGCTTCAGAGCAAGACATCAATCCTCAAGGTAGGATTTCCCGGAGTAAGATGTGAGAGTATGATGACAGACATGCCTAATGATGACTGATGTAAATACGTATGAAGATATGATGTGTATGTTATAGTAAGTAGTAACCAGCCTGTTTCAATAAGTGATCAAACTCCACAGTTAGCTGTACAATCCCATCAGTAAAGCTTTGTTAAATAAGAGTATTCAGTACAAAGGACTTTATTAGGTATCACCAACACAAAGTTACTTATTGTAATAAACTCTAATTATCCAAAAACAACAGAATTTTGGGGCACCAGAAACAGCTGTAGGACATGCAAGGACGAGTTATCTCAGCCATCGATATTCTCATCACATGTCTACATTGAATAGATGTTTTTATATTACAATTAATTAGAAACTTATGTTACATTTCGATGACTACATTGTCTGATGGTGACAGTTTAGTCGTTGAAACATCACATATACTTTTCTATCTGGTTGTGATACTTCTATTCAATGTACGGTAAATCTTGGTCAGTTCAAAAAGGCGGGTAGTTCAAACACATTTTTACAACGAGAGGCCTAGCGGCCTTGACCATCAGCTGAGATAAGCAATATTGAATTAAAGGTTAAAGGATAGTTATCAAGTGTCATGAGACAGAAATTGTGACACTGAATAGAGTAAGCCAGTGTCAATACAAGCACACCATCAAAACTGTCATCCTATACTGATCATTCTTATAAAATTATTTCCAGTGGGAAATAACCAACGTTATCCTCAAAAAATGCAAAAATGTGAGACTCAATTTGGTAATTAAAGCACCTTAAGATGTTTCCATCCATGAAGAGCATTTGATTCTACCATATCTGGGTGTTGAGAAGAAGAATTTTTGATAATCAAGTCAATTTGACCCCTTTAATATAAGATAATCACATCAAGACTGTTCCAATAGTCGTAAGATTCATCAAAAATTTAACAAACCGTAGTCATATTAAGGATAAAAATATGTCAATGCTAACTTTCGCCAATACACACGCAGAATTGTGCTTTTTATGGGGTGGTTTCTTCATCACGGTATCCAACGTTATGAAGAACAAAAAGAAACCTGTGACTTCTTAACAGTCAATTAACATGTATTGCAATACAGTTAGAGTTTCAAAAGATAATAGTTTTTTAACTGACTCCACAGAAAATATCATTTCTGACCAGTAACTGCCTACCCTAAAAGGACACTTTTAGACATTTCGTCATGATTTTCAGCTATGTCAACCCTGATAGTTTGAACTCTAATGTATTTTCACCAGCATAATTTTGTATACTTTTAACAGGTCCAGCAATATTTAATTAATTTTGTTTGAACTGACCAAAGATTTACTGTATGTTACCAACCTAAAGTAAATGTTTGGCGACACATGTCAACATGCTATTACAAAACTACAATATTCTCTGTCTTCTACTTAATTTGAAAGTAGAATATTCTCCTTTTTTTCCCACAAATTGAAGGCTACTTTTTTTTTAACATTGAATATTCTTCTCATTCAGATTCTGGTGCATATTAATTATTTATAAGCAGTGTAATATCACCTCTATTTCAAACGACTGCCTAAAAAACTTAAACAACAACAAACTACAATAACAGGGAAGATGATGGCCGGTATGGAAAGAATGGAATTTAAATCTTAAAAAGTAGTTGAAAAAAAAAGATTGCAAAAGTTTTAGCACACTGTAGAGTTTGATTGTCAGAGCAGTGTACAATGTTGTGACCTAGACTCTGATAGAGACTGTACAGTAGATAGGGTGAGTCAAGACTCAACAAAACACCAACTTAAGATGTACTCACGAGCCACAATTTGGCATGCCTCTGTGCTAGAGCCTTTACTCAACAGAAACACAGACACCATAGAAAATAATACCAAACAAACATTAAAAATCCTATAATAATACCAAACATTCAAAATCCTATAAAATTTTACCAGTGTATTATACCATGGGGTATGTTAGACTATTGAATGGTCTGAAATTATGGTGTACTCTAATAATGGTGTACTCTAATAATGGTGTACTCTATGGTGTACTCTATTTATGGTGTACTCTATTTATGGTGTACTCTGTGTAAGTTTTGAAGTACAAAGTTTAGATAAATAAGTCACCAAAAAGGGCCACGAGAAGGTTAACGAAAATCAGAATGACACTTTCTTTAAAATTTGTATCATTCATAGTCTGAACTTATATCACAAAGCAAATAATTGCAAGTAAAAAAAAAGCATAAGCTACATAGGCTTTATATATACCGGGAGAGAAAATCAAAAGATTGAGACAATGTATCCTTGTTTGATTTATCTACATACAAAATCTGGTCATTGTTAATAACCACAGAAGTAAAGGAGATATGGACACACAGTGTTATGGATACACAGTGTTATGGACACACAGTGTTAACATACTCTGTGACTATGGAAGGTCAAGACAGCTGGTAGGTAACACTAATGAACAATTATTAAGGTAAAAGTGATATCTTTTGCAAACAAACTACTGACAGCTGATGAAATAGCGCCCAAGATCAACAAAATCCACCAATTACGAAATAAAAAGCAATTAAATTTAACCCAAAGTCAAAATACTATATATATTATCTTCTAAAGAACAACACAAATCCAACTTAAGATTTACAATAAGATCATTCATCTTACATCTACATAAAGTGTAATCTAAATCTGGATAGTTGACCAGCTTGTAAGTGTAATCTAAATCTGGATAGTTGACCAGCTTGTAAGTGTAATCTAAATCTGGATAGTTGGCCAGCTTGTAAGTGTAATCTAAATCTGGATAGTTAACCAGCTTGTAAGTGTAATCTAAATCTGGATAGTTGGCCAGCTTGTAAGTGTAATCTAAATCTGGAAAGTTGACCAGCTTGTAAGTGTAATCTAAATCTGAATAGTTGACCAGCTTGTAAGTGTAATCTAAATCTGGATAGTTGGCCAGCTTGTAAGTGTAATCTAAATCTGGGTAGTTGGCCAGCTTGTAAGTGTAATCTAAATCTGGGTAGTTGGCCAGCTTGTAAGTGTAATCTAAATCTGGATAGTTGACCAGCTTGTAAGTGTAATCTAAATCTGGATAGTTGGCCAGCTTGTAAGTGTAATCTAAATCTGGATAGTTGACCAGCTTGTAAGTGTAATCTAAATCTGGATAGTTAACCAGCTTGTAAGTGTAATCTAAATCTGGATAGTTAACCAGCTTGTAAGTGTAATCTAAATCTGGATAGTTGGCCAGCTTGTAAGTGTAATCTAAATCTGGATAGTTAACCAGCTTGTAAGTGTAATCTAAATCTGGATAGTTGGCCAGCTTGTAAGTGTAATCTAAATCTGGATAGTTGGCCAGCTTGTAAGTGTAATCTAAATCTGGATAGTTGGCCAGCTTGTAAGTGTAATCTAAATCTGGATAGTTGACCAGCTTGTAAGTGTAATCTAAATCTGAATAGTTGACCAGCTTGTAAGTGTAATCTAAATCTGGATAGTTGGCCAGCTTGTAAGTGTAATCTAAATCTGGGTAGTTGGCCAGCTTGTAAGTGTAATCTAAATCTGGGTAGTTGGCCAGCTTGTAAGTGTAATCTAAATCTGGATAGTTGACCAGCTTGTAAGTGTAATCTAAATCTGGATAGTTGGCCAGCTTGTAAGTGTAATCTAAATCTGGATAGTTGACCAGCTTGTAAGTGTAATCTAAATCTGGATAGTTAACCAGCTTGTAAGTGTAATCTAAATCTGGATAGTTAACCAGCTTATAAGTGTAATCTAAATCTGGATAGTTGACCAGCTTGTAAGTGTAATCTAAATCTGGATAGTTAACCAGCTTGTAAGTGTAATCTAAATCTGGATAGTTAACCAGCTTGTAAGTGTAATCTAAATCTGGATAGTTGGCCAGCTTGTAAGTGCTTTCTTACTCTTTGATTCTAAATGGTTCTGATAACATATCTTGTGATACAAATTTACTAATTATCTTAAATTATATCATATTGTGTAATAGCTGAAGACTACATACTTCCTGGGTTTTTTAACTACCCATTGTCAACACAATCACCTATAACTACATGTCCCCTACACAACCTAAACTCTACCTCACACTACCCATTGTCAACACAACCACCTATAACTACATGTCCCCTACACAACCTAGACTGTACCTCACACTACCCTCAACACAATCACCTATAACTACATGTCCCCTACACAACCTAGACTCTACCTCACACTACCCATTGTCAACACAATTACCTATAACTACATGTCCCCTACACAACCTAGACTGTACCTCACACTACCCATTGTCAACACAACCACCTATAACTACATGTCCCCTACACAACCTAGACTCTACCTCACCCTACCCATTGTCAACACAATTACCTATAACTACATGTCCCCTACACAACCTAGACTGTACCTCACACTACCCATTGTCAACACAACCACCTATAACTACATGTCCCCTACACAACCTAGACTCTACCTCACCCTACCCATTGTCAACACAATTACCTATAACTACATGTCCCCTACACAACCTAGACTGTACCTCACACTACCCTCAACACAATCACCTATAACTACATGTCCCCTACACAACCTAAACTCTACCTCACACTACCCATTGTCAACACAATTACCTATAACTACATGTCCCCTACACAACCTAGACTGTACCTCACACTACCCATTGTCAACACAACCACCTATAACTACATGTCCCCTACACAACCTAGACTCTACCTCACCCTACCCATTGTCAACACAATTACCTATAACTACATGTCCCCTACACAACCTAGACTGTACCTCACACTACCCATTGTCAACACAACCACCTATAACTACATGTCCCCTACACAACCTAGACTGTACCTCACACTACCCATTGTCAACACAACCACCTATAACTACATGTCCCCTACACAACCTAGACTCTACCTCACACTACCCATTGTCAACACAATTACCTATAACTACATGTCCCCTACACAACCTAGACTGTACCTCACACTACCCTCAACACAATCACCTATAACTACATGTCCCCTACACAACCTAAACTCTACCTCACACTACCCATTGTCAACACAATCACCTATAACTACATGTCCCCTACCCAACCTAGACTGTACCTCACACTACCCATTGTCAACACAATCACCTATAACTACATGTCCCCTACACAACCTAAACTCTACCTCACACTACCCATTGTCAACACAATCACCTATAACTACATGTCCCCTACACAACCTAGACTCTACCTCACACTACCCATTGTCAACACAATCACCTATGACTACATGTCCCCTACACAACCTAGACTGTACCTCACGCTGGTCAGAGTTTAGCTTGATGTGTTCAGAATGCTGCATCAGACGATCCTTCCGTCTCCATTTGGCACCCTCTCTGGACTTCCCTCTGGAATTAAACGATACATTACCACCATCAAGCAACATTATTCCTCAAGGATGATGTATCCTGGTGTCACTTAATACCGAAGTCCTATAGGTATTGTGTAACTTGTTCTACTAACAGTCAGATTAACTGGAACCCTGCAGTTGTATAAACTCAGAGCCTTGTTATAAAGTATGATATAGGGTTACTATTAATTGGGTCACTTTCAATGGTACATAGTATCACTGTTAATGGTACATAGTATCACTGTTAATAGTACATAGTATCACTGTTAATGGTACATAGTATCACTGTTAATGGTACATAGTATCACTGTTAATGGTACATAGTATCACTTTTAATGGTACATAGTATCACTTTTAATGGTACATAGTATCACTTTTAATGGTACATAGTATCACTGTTAATGGTACATAGTATCACTTTTAATGGTACATAGTATCACTTTTAATGGTACATAGTATCACTTTTAATGGTACATAGTATCACTGTTAATGGTACATAGTATCACTTTTAATGGTACATAGTACTTTTAATGGTACATAGTATCACTTTTAATGGTACATAGTATCACTGTTAATGGTACATAATATCACTTTTAATGGTACATAGTATCACTGTTAATGGTACATAGTATCACTTTTAATGATAACACTGTTACTAGGCCAAAATATTTCCATTTATAATTAATAGAATAAAGTATCACTTTTAATGAGATACAATATTACTTTCAATGGTGTAAAGCATTTTCACGATTTTATTTACCATTTAATCCACAACACAAACCTGACTTGGAATAATGAAATAATTCACAAATATCTACATTACCATATTGTATGATATCAGAACTAAATGATTGACTAACAATATGTTCATAGATTAATATGAAGAAATAAAGAAATTACAGAAGAGCGTGTTCTTGAGTTTATATGAAATGATAAAGCAGACAATTTTAATCCAGGTTGGTAACTTACTTGACTGTGGCAGGTTCTTTGTTGAGAATCTCAACATCAAGCTTGGGGAAGATTCCTGGCTCTAAGGGTGTAGGTTTCTCCTGATCCTCTAGGCTGTGGGGCTTGGGTGACACATGGTCAATATAGATCACACGCTTCTGGAGCATCGTCTCTGTTCACAAACAAATATCTAAATGTACACAGAAGTCATATACTTTCAGAATAGTAGTACCATTCTGTCACATAAACAGATATAAAAAATAAACAATATATATATACCTCGTCTAGTGCATTACATATAACAAAAAAATACATTATAGTTCAATTAAAAAATCAGGTAGGCCAGTAAACGTTTAACATATTCTTCTTAACACAGTACATAACATAACTAGTGGGAAATCAAATTAATTCAATGAATAAAGTTGAATATTGATCTGACCTACCTGTATCCACTACTTGTACATTGTATATGTGACCTACCTGTATCCACTAGTTGTACATTGTATGTGTGACCTACCTGTATCCACTAGTTGTACATTGTATGTGTGACCTACCTGTATCCACTAGTTATACATTGTATGTGTGACCTACCTGTATCCACTAGTTGTACATTGTCTACCTGTATCCACTAGTTGTACATTGTATGTGTGACCTACCTGTATCCACTAGTTATACATTGTATGTGTGACCTACCTGTATCCACTAGTTGTACATTGTATGTGTGACCTACCTGTATCCAAAGTAGTTGTACATTGTATGTGTGACCTACCTGTATCCACTAGTTATACATTGTATGTGTGACCTACCTGTATCCACTAGTTGTACATTGTATGTGTGACCTACCTGTATCCAAAGTAGTTGTACATTGTATGTGTGACCTACCTGTATCCACTAGAGTTGTACATTGTATGTGTGACCTACCTGTATCCACTGTAGTTGTACATTGTATGTGTGACCTACCTGTATCCACTAGAGTTGTACATTGTATGTGTGACCTACCTGTATCCACTGTAGTTATATATTGTATGTGTGACCTACCTGTATCCAAAGTAGTTGTACATTGTATGTGTGACCTACCTGTATCCACTAGAGTTGTACATTGTATGTGTGACCTACCTGTATCCACTGTAGTTGTACATTGTATGTGTGACCTACCTGTATCCACTAGAGTTGTACATTGTATGTGTGACCTTCCTGTATCCACTGTAGTTGTACATTGTATGTGTGACCTACCTGTATCCACTAGAGTTGTACATTGTATGTGTGACCTACCTGTATCCACTGTAGTTGTACATTGTATGTGTGACCTACCTGTATCCACTAGAGTTGTACATTGTATGTGTGACCTACCTGTATCCACTGTAGTTGTACATTGTATGTGTGACCTACCTGTATCCACTGTAGTTGTACATTGTATGTGTGACCTACCTGTATCCACTGTAGTTGTACATTGTATGTGTGACCTACCTGTATCCACTGTAGTTGTACTGTAGTTGTACGTTGTATGTGTGACCTACCTGTATCCACTAGAGTTGTACATTGTATGTGTGACCTACCTGTATCCACTGTAGTTGTACATTGTATGTGTGACCTACCTGTATCCACTGTAGTTGTACATTGTATGTGTGACCTACCTGTATCCACTGTAGTTGTATGTGTGACCTACCTGTATCCACTGTAGTTGTACATTGTATGTGTGACCTACCTGTATGTGTCCACTCCACTGTAGTTGTACATTGTATGTGTGACCTACCTGTATCCACACTGTAGTTGTACATTGTATGTGTGACCTACCTGTATCCACTAGAGTTGTACATTGTATGTGTGACCTACCTGTATCCACTGTAGTTGTACATTGTATGTGTGACCTACCTGTATCCACTGTAGTTGTACATTGTATGTGTGACCTACCTGTATCCACTGTAGTTGTACATTGTATGTGTGACCTACCTGTATCCACTGTAGTTGTACATTGTATGTGTGACCTACCTGTATCCACTGTAGTTGTACATTGTATGTGTGACCTACCTGTATCCACTGTAGTTGTACATTGTATGTGTGACCTACCTGTATCCACTGTAGTTGTACATTGTATGTGTGACCTACCTGTATCCACTGTAGTTGTACATTGTATGTGTGACCTACCTGTATGTGTCCACTCCAGAGTTGTACATTGTATGTGTGACCTACCTGTATCCACTGTAGTTGTACATTGTATGTGTGACCTACCTGTATCCACTGTAGTTGTACATTGTATGTGTGACCTACCTGTATCCACTGTAGTTGTACATTGTATGTGTGACCTACCTGTATCCACTGTAGTTGTACATTGTATGTGTGACCTACCTGTATCCACTGTAGTTGTACATTGTATGTGTGACCTACCTGTATCCACTGTAGTTGTACATTGTATGTGTGACCTACCTGTATCCACTGTAGTTGTACATTGTATGTGTGACCTACCTGTATCCACTGTAGTTGTACATTGTATGTGTGACCTACCTGTATCCACTGTAGTTGTACATTGTATGTGTGACCTACCTGTATCCACTGTAGTTGTACATTGTATGTGTGACCTACCTGTATCCACTAGAGTTGTACATTGTGAGTATGTATGTGTGATATTCTCTCCCAAAGCTTCCTTTAACATCTTAAGCCTGGAGTCAAACACACGTAGTTGAGGTTCCTGCTCCTCCCATTGACTCAAAATTTTATTGTCTATCATCGTTGTAAACATTTGTGTCTCTGTAAATGATGACAAAAAGGGGAGATAACCCTCTGGCTGATCACTCAGGAATGCTGCCTTGTCAAAGTTCTGCATTGTCTCTCTGTTATTTAACCAGGCATCCATATCCTGGTTGGGTTGTATCACAAATGTGTCGTAGGAACTAAACAGATGAAGGAAATGATTGAGGAAAATTTCACGCACAGTGTTATTGAACTTTAGATCCTCTATTTCTTTTACACTCATTGACGATGGATCCCGCGACCCCATCTCCTTACTGTCCTTGCTCGGCATGTCTGAGAACTCCTCTATAGAAGACCACACACCTGTTTTCTTAGCCAGTGCAGATATCTTAGCAAAAGCTTCACTCTGCTGTAGAATCTCCATTTTGTTAGTCTTTAAGGTGTCCTCTTTATTTAGACTACGGCGAGGACTGGCTGGTTTCGGGTTTGGAGCTGGATCAGTCTTAGCTGTTTCCACCTTCTCGCGGTAGAGTCGAGTACGATGTATACCGCACACCTTGACTAGTTCCTCTGTCAGCTCCTGGAGGTGTGGGAATCTTGGCAATTCTTCTGGCACCTCAACAGTTTTCTCATCCAGGTCCACAAAACACATGTTAGCCTGCACAGACAAGACAAGAAACATTCTTAACTATTTCTGCATATTAAATATGAGATGACTCTGTAATATCACCTGTTTCATCCATCATCAATAAAACAGACAAGTAAAAGTTGTTTAACTGTTCACTGGCATAAAGTTTTAGCTTAGTTAGATAAGTATATATAATGCATATCTCATTTGTACAGAAAATGATGTAAGAGAGAATGAAAGCTTGATCTACCTCACTAGGAAGTTCTAGTTCAGAACGATTCTCCCGTCCATGATGAAGCCCCATAACAAATGGAACAGGAGCATCCAGAAAATGAGTGAGAGATGCCGGCAGGATTGGTACATAAACATGCTGCCATGCGAACGGAAAAATCAGAGCGTTCATACACTCCGCTACCAACATCAGTCTCTGGTAATCTGATAAAGATATTATTTAAACAGGATGATAAAACATCTTTCCTATTGTAGAGATTAACTGCATTGCATATTTTTCTTTTTTAAGTTTACATGCAAGTAAAACAAACAAACATTTCCCTTTAAATATCACCATCATGATATCTATTTTGCTATTACAATATGATCTATATCATCTTGTTATTGTGTTGATCTGCATTTAAAAAAATGGGAAGTTTGAAAAAACTTCAGATCTGAACAGAAGAATGGTAGAGAACAATACAGTAGGTTCTCTTACTTACCAGACGAATAGATTAAGATCTGGTGTTCAAGTAAGACACTGGTGAAAAGTTGAATGATGTCCCTCACATCCAGAGATCGGAACAAGTCCCAGAGGGAGAAGTCAAACAAGGGCAGTTCACTCACACCTAGTAAACGAATGGAATATATATCATATATCACTGTATTACAGACAATTGTATCACAAATACACATCTTACTACAATCCTATATCTTATGTAAAGTGACGGCTCACTCACACCTAGTAAAGATAAAGTATATTATATATCACTGTATTACAGACAATTGTATCACAAATACACATCTTACTACAATCCTATGTCTCATGTTACGCTAAAATAAGTCTCAGTAATAATGAAAATAATACTAAGTATAATGCCCTACCTATTAATTAAGGGATATATCTATCTATGTGTCTTCCTATCAATTTTATAACTTCTACATGATAACTTTCATCATCAAATGGCAGTATATTTTTATATAATCAGAAATCATTTAACACTGAACAAATGTCACAAATAATTACCACTTCAAACTTTTGGATTCTATAAATGTTTCAGATAATTACCACTTCAAACTTTTGGATTCTATAAATGTTTCAGATAATTACCACTTCAAACTTACTGATTCTATAAATGTTTCAGATAATTACCACTTCAAACTTTTGGATTCTATAAATGTTTCAGATAATTACCACTTCAAACTTTTGGATTCTATAAATGTTTCAGATAATTACCACTTCAAACTTTTGGATTCTATAAATGTTTCAGATAATTACCACTTCAAACTTACTGATTCTATAAATGTTTCAGATAATTACCACTTCAAACTTTTGGATTCTATAAATGTTTCAGATAATTACCACTTCAAACTTACTGATCCTATAAATGTTTCAGATAATTACCACTTCAAACTTTTGGATTCTATAAATGTTTCAGATAATTACCACTTCAAACTTTTGGATTCTATAAATGTTTCAGATAATTACCACTTCAAACTTACTGATTCTATAAATGTTTCAGATAATTACCACTTCAAACTTTTGGATTCTATAAATGTTTCAGATAATTACCACTTCAAACTTTTGGATTCTATAAATGTTTCAGATAATTACCACTTCAAACTTTTGGATTCTATAAATGTTTCAGATAATTACCACTTCAAACTTTTGGATTCTATAAATGTTTCAGATAATTACCACTTCAAACTTTTGGATTCTATAAATGTTTCAGATAATTACCACTTCAAACTTACTGATTCTATAAATGTTTCAGATAATTACCACTTCAAACTTTTGGATTCTATAAATGTTTCAGATAATTACCACTTCAAACTTACTGATTCCATAAATGTTTCACATAATTACCACTTCAAACTTACTGATTCTATAAATGTTTCAGATAATTACCACTTCAAACTTACTGATTCTATAAATGTTTCAGATAATTACCACTTCAAACTTACTGATTCTATAAATGTTTCAGTTAATTACCACTTCAAACTTTTGGATTCTATAAATGTTTCAGATAATTACCACTTCAAACTTACTGATTCTATAAATGTTTCAGATAATTACCACTTCAAACTTTTGGATTCTATAAATGTTTCAGATAATTACCACTTCAAACTTACTGATTCCATAAATGTTTCAGATAATTACCACTTCAAACTTTTGGATTCTATAAATGTTTGTTTCAGATAATTACCACTTCAAACTTACTGATTCTATAAATGTTTCAGATAATTACCACTTCAAACTTACTGATTCTATAAATGTTTCACATAATTACCACTTCAAACTTACTGATTCTATAAATGTTTCACATAATTACCACTTCAAACTTACTGATTCTATAAATGTTTCAGATAATTACCACTTCAAACTTACTGATTCCATAAATGTTTCAGATGATTACCACTTCAAACTTACTGATTCTATAAATGTTTCAGATAATTACCACTTCAAACTTTCGGATTCTATAGATGTTTCAGATAATTACCACTTCAAACTTACTGATTCTATAAATGTTTCAGATAATTACCACTTCAAACTTACTGATCCTATAAATGTTTCTGATAATTACCACTTCAAACTTTCGGATTCTATAAATGTTTCAGATAATTACCACTTCAAACTTACTGATCCTATAAATGTTTCAGATAATTACCACTTCAAACTTTCGGATTCTATAAATGTTTCAGATGATTACCACTTCAAACTTACTGATTCTATAAATGTTTCAGATAATTACCACTTCAAACTTAATAATTCTATAAATGTTTCAGATAATTACCACTTCAAACTTACTGATTCTATAAATGTTTCACATAATTACCACTTCAAACTTACTGATTCTATAAATGTTTCAGATAATTACCACTTCAAACTTACTGATTCTATAAATGTTTCACATAATTACCACTTCAAACTTACTGATTCTATAAATGTTTCAGATAATTACCACTTCAAACTTACTGATTCTATAAATGTTTCAGATAATTACCTGTGTTAACCTCAGGTATACCACTTCAAACTTACTGATTCTATAAATGTTTCAGATAATTACCACTTCAAACTTACTGATTCCATAAATGTTTCAGATAATTACCACTTCAAACTTACTGATTCCATAAATGTTTCAGATAATTACCACTTCAAACTTACTGATTCTATAAATGTTTCACATAATTACCACTTCAAACTTACTGATTCTATAAATGTTTCAGATAATTACCACTTCAAACTTACTGATTCCATAAATGTTTCAGATAATTACCACTTCAAACTTACTGATTCTATAAATGTTTCAGATAATTACCACTTCAAACTTACTGATTCTATAAATGAAGAATTAAAGAGAAATTGGGCTTTAATTTCTGTATCACTGAGAGAAATTAGTCAAAATACAACAAGATGTTCCTCAATCAACCAAATCAATTAATTCAACCAATCAACTGTTCTAAAAGTCAGCAGGTATGATGTTAGCATTACCTTACCTAAGGAATTGATATGGTAGCCAGAATGTTAACTTACATGTATTACAAATAGACATCGACAGCTAGAAAGTGCTATTTAGATTGATGTTGGTATTATGAATGTTGATGTGATTATAGAATTCAACAAGTTCAGACATTTTTCAAATATTAATCAATAAGACAAATATTTAATTACTTTCAGTGTTATCAACACCTTGAAATAAAATTGTATCAGTAAGTTTAATATAGATCCATAAAATTTTAATGTTACTTCAGGCAAACAAATAGAATCGATACTAACTAGACATACATAAAAGCCAGAACTGTAACAGAAATATAAGTGACCCAGAGTGATAAAACAATATAAAACATGATAACTGTTATCTCAGAGAAATGAAGCAAATAATAATCTATAAAGGCATAGGCACCTGTGTTAACCTCAGGTATATAATCAATGACTGCTAACTAGTCAGAAAAAGGGAATATATCTAGAGACAGCATAAGGAAAGGGAACAGATCTAGAGACAGAATAAGGAAAGGGAACAGATCTAGAGACAGAATAAGGAAAGGGAACAGATCTAGAGACAGCATAAGGAAAGGGAACAGATCTAGAGACAGAATAAGGAAAGGGAACAGATCTAGAGACAGAATAAGGAAAGGGAACAGATCTAGAGACATCATAAGGAAAGGGAACAGATCTAGAGACAGCATAAGGAAAGGGAACAGATCTAGAGACAGCATAAGGAAAGGGAACAGATCTAGAGACAGCATAAGGAAAGGGAACAGATCTAGAGACAGAATAAGGAAAGGGAACAGATCTAGAGACAGCATAAGGAAAGGGAACAGATCTAGAGACAGAATAAGGAAAGGGAACAGATCTAGAGACATTATAAGGAAAGGGAACAGATCTAGAGACAGCATAAGGAAAGGGAACAGATCTAGAGACAGAATAAGGAAAGGGAACAGATCTAGAGACAGAATAAGGAAAGGGAACAGATCTAGAGACAGAATAAGGAAAGGGAACAGATCTAGAGACAGAATAAGGAAAGGGAACAGATCTAGAGACAGAATAAGGAAAGGGAACAGATCTAGAGACAGAATAAGGAAAGGGAACAGATCTAGAGACATCATAAGGAAAGGGAACAGATCTAGAGACATCATAAGGAAAGGGAACAGATCTAGAGACATCATAAGGAAAGGGAACAGATCTAGAGACATCATAAGGAAAGGGAACAGATCTAGAGACAGAATAAGGAAAGGGAACAGATCTAGAGACAGAATAAGGAAAGGGAACAGATCTAGAGACAGAATAAGGAAAGGGAACAGATCTAGAGACAGAATAAGGAAAGGGAACAGATCTAGAGACATTATAAGGAAAGGGAACAGATCTAGAGACAGCATAAGGAAAGGGAACAGATCCACAGACAGAATAAGGACAGAATAAGGAAAGGGAACAGATCTAGAGACATCATAAGGAAAGGGAACAGATCTAGAGACAGCATACGAAAGGGAACAGATCTAGAGACAGCATACGAAAGGGAACAGATCTAGAGACAACATACGAAAGGGAACAGATCTAGAGACAGCATACGAAAGGGAACAGATCTAGAGACAGCTTAAGGAAAAGAAACAGGCCAGACGGACAATGATTGGAAAAAGAAGTTAAGGATGAAAATGGAAATCAGGATTGAAATATTAAAGGCAATATTTTAAGAAGCAGAATATTTGGAAAGTGAACACAGACAGCATTGGAAAACTGGTGTAATGCTGACAAGGAGACATGGACAACAATGAAAATAAATGGGGCAATATCGTGAAAGGGAGCATGGACACTAATAGGGAGACAGACCTGGAGCATTATTAGAAAATGGGAACAGGGACAACATTGAGAATGGGAACAGGGACAACATTGAGAATGGGAACAGGAACAACATTGAGAATGGGAACAGGGACAGTATTGAGAATGGGAACAGGGACAACATTGAGAATGGGAACAGGAACAACACTGAGAATGGGAACAGGGACAACATTGAGAATGGAAACAGGGACAACATTGGGAATGGGAACAGGAACAGCATTGAGAATGGAAACAGGGACAAAATTGAGAATGGGAACAGGGACAACATTGAGAATGGGAACAGGGACAACATTGAGAATGGGAACAGGGACAACATTGGGAATGGGAACAGGGACAACATTGAGAATGAACAGGGACAATATTGAGAATGGAAACAGGGACAACATTGAGAATGGGAACAGGGACAATGGGAACACGGACAACATTGAGAATGGGAACAGGGATAACATTGAGAATGGGAACAGGAACAGCATTGAGAATGGGAACAGGGACAACATTGAGAATGGGAACAGGGACAACATTGAGAATGGGAACAGGGACAACATTGAGAATGGAAACAGGGACAACATTGGGAATGGGAACAGGAACAACATTGGGAATGGGGACAGGGACAACATTGGGAAACACAACAGGGACAGCATTGAGAATGGGAACAGTGACAACATTGAGAATGGAAACAGGAACAGCATTGAGAATGGGAACAGGGACAACATTGAGAATGGGAACAGGGACAACATTGGGAATGGGAACAGGAACAACATTGGGAATGGGAACAGGGCCAACATTGGGAATGGAAACAGGGACAACATTGAGAATGTGAACAGGGACAACATTGAGAATGGGAACAGGGACAACATTGGGAATGGGAACAGGGACAACATTGAGAATGGAAACAGGGACAACATTGAGAATCCGAACAGGGACAACATTGAGAAAGGGAACAGTGACAACATAGGGAGACATTTGCTGTATTTTGTTTCAAGAGTGAAATCAATTTCAGCTTATGAGGTAGGCACACATAAATATCTACAGGATATGTGGTATCACCAAATATACAAGCTGTATGTAGTAATACTAAATCAAGATGTCATTCACCATGAAATATTGCTACAGTAAAGTTAAACAAAACATAGTGAAATATTGCTATGAACTTAGTACAAAGTTTGATACTGAGGAGAAAATCCATAAGCAAGCAAACATAGGTTTGTTATACACAAAAGTAAGCGAGGTTTACAGTAGAGCTTTGTGATGTATCAGGTGATGCAGTTAACAACAAATAAAACCTTTAACAAAGATTCTCTCCGGTCATTGTATATTCTCCTTACATTTTTTTAATTACATATTACCAAATGGACTGCAGGAAATACTTGCATTAAATTTAATATTTTGATTTATCTTAGTTACCAATGTCTCCTCTTTTCTTCAAATTATTGATACAGTAATAGATATAAAGGAAAATGAAATACATCGATGAGAGTGACTTGTTAAAGGTATGCCACCACACATAAACAGACATCTAGAGAGGTCCAACAAGCTCAGGGCAACACAAACCTTTCACCTCTCGCCAATCCACTGCAAATCAAAATATAGTCGTAAACAATACACATCTTATGGTCAAGCTGAACAATGCCTTACAATAAATTACACCCAAATGTATCGAATCAAACTTCACAACATTAATTCCAAACTTTAATTTTTTGTTCAGGAGAATCTGCTTTCAATTAACATCATAAGCACTGCATTGGTCTTATAAATTTGTCATTCTTGTTTCAATAAAGCATGTGTTTGCACAACTTGACCAACATTTGTTACCATGTACAAGGTATTTCATGTTATCATAAACATTCAAGGATATAAATTTTATATTTTCATGATGCAGTTAGAGTGATTTTCATAATTTGTAAACCAACATGCATGTATACAGCATATAGTATCATCCATTTGTTATGTTCATGTTTTCCGACCAACATGCAGTTTAATTACATCCATGATAATTCATATTTATGTATATAAATCGGGGCCATATGAGATAACAAGCTAGAAAATAAGATTTTAAAGCAAGTTGTTTTCTAAATATGTGATCATTGTGAATCAAAGAGATCTATAATGAATACATATTGTATGGTCTTCACCTATCATTTTCAGATGGCAGGAAATTAATTAGGTCTCCCTGTCCAAAGAAAATAAAATATCACTCCCCGACTGATACAGACAATGAAGACTTTATAATTTAAGTAATGTAATCAATAGCATTGAATCAAAATTAAACTAATATTTTCATTTTTTTCCATTTTAATGTGATAAATACCAATACACACATTATACAGGAAATTTCAGTATCAAAAATATAACCATGACTTTAATAGTTTCAAACAAAATACAGTGCCTGTATTATTTTTCAAGTAATCTAAACTTACCTACTGTTGGCTCTAATTGACAAATGTTAGTTAGCATGCAGCATACAGTATACAGTCCCATGCAGTAAAATTATGTTACCGTTTACATATCAAAACCAAACTTATCTGTTATTTATCAATGGCCAATTGAACAAATGAACAATTTTAATTTACCTACAGAACTCAGTAAGTATGACTTATCAGGATGTCTTACTCTTGTGATGGTATTTTGTATTCAAAGAATGAAAAAAAAATCTTATTTTATCAAATCATTGTGGTTTTCACAGCCATATATGTAATACAGAAACTCACTTGGTCTTTGACAGAAGATGGGCATCTCAACACCATAGAATTTTAGACTGCGACCTGGAGGAGGCAGTGGGACCTCATACAGTATGTTATAGATATAGCTCTCCAAAGGCAGGTGAGTGTCTGATGGCTTTGACACAGCCTCATACAACTGTTTAAGAAACTGTCTTGATGCTCTCACAAAAGGCATCTGCATGATGAGGCATATTGTTTTTGTTACAAAAAGTTTGTCTTTTTCTGGGTCATAGACGCGTGCACTGTCTCTAGGACTCGTCTGTTGTCGGTCACGACCAGGTCTGGGACTAGCGTCGCGCGAGGACCGTCCACTGTCCATAGAACAGCTGGCCACTTCAGCTTGGTACATGTGCTGAAGTGTCTCCATGGCAGCACTAATTTTCTTGTCATTGACTTCCTCATAGTAGGTAAAGGCTGACCCAAAGTTACGGCTGCCATCTTCTTTTGTGATGATAAAAGAATGAAACTTAGGGCGATGTGAATCTCTTTGTGTTCGAAATGCAAGTCCCTTTGGCAAAGAAAGCTGTCAAATAAGATTAAGAAATAAAAAATTAAGAACTTAAGGACATTGAAAACAGTTTTGCATTAATTCTTTGTATCAATTGATAGTTTACCTGGCCCTTCAGTCCTGCTATAATAATTTACCATTGTACTACAGTATATGGATTTCAGTGACATGAAATATCTAGACATGAAAAATTTATCTATGAAGTACACATAATTATAAAGTATAAAGTCATCAACAAACAGCTGATAAAACTTCATTAGTCTGAGCTACACTATCAGAATACATATGTACTTTCCCACTAACACAAAATCTACTCATCCCAGAGTATCTGGTACACGGAATTACATCCCAGCTGGTCTGAAGTTTTTGCCCTTGCACAGACATCAAAGCAATTTAAACACTGACCCTATTAATTGTTTAAAAAATTATCATAGAGGAAGTGTACAGGACACATACAATATCTAGTCAAGAATTATCTACCTGATAAAGTTTCATCAAAATATCATTCATTTGTTGTTTCCCAAATGTGAAAGTATGTGACATTTAAAACATCATATGAAGTATCAAGATTGCCAAGCATTAAGAATGTACTAGCAGTTTTTCTCTTCTATCAAGAAATAATAATTAATGTCATCTTTTTACTTTTGTTGAAATGAGGGTGAATAAAAAAACTGTTGAGTGCCACTAGAAAAGAGATTGAAAAATATATTTTTTATTCATTCAAAACAATTAATCTCTATAATAATGTGGCACGCTCATAAAGGAAACACATATAGCACTACATTACCATGCCCACAGCATCTTTGTCGAAGGGACTCCATGGCACAGACTCGGGACAGTGTAGCAGCACTTTAGACTTGAAGGGTCGGTCAAGGGGAGGGCACTGTAAATTATCACCTAAAACGATAAAACACATATAAGTTTACTGCTGTGTGAAGTTAATTTTATTTCTTAACGACATACTAGTAGACTTTAGATCCTTGAAATATTTTTTCTGTGAGTTAAAGAATACAAAGCTAGACAAGGAGTTTACCCTTCATTGTTAATATCATGTATATCTTTTAGAGGGTCCATCCAGTTAGTTCTCTAACCATTTTGATTTTCTGCTTGTGGTTGACTATTCTTCAGATGAGAAGTCATTTTGTGTAGAGTACCACAGATTTGGTATTCTACCTTTGGAAGCAAGTGTGACTGAATGTTAAAATGGAGAGCTATCAGATTTTATTTTCTGTTAATGCTGTGAGATATAGAATCTGAATTCATACATTTTTCCTACAATGTATGTTTGTATTTGGAGAGGTGATCAGGGATATGTGGTTTTTGCAGTACAGCTTTACCCTGTAGTAATAATCTTCCATTTAAACAGAACATAACAACATATATATATATATTCCAAAACAAAAACCTTTCTCAATGATTTTATATAAGATAGGGCACCACATAAAAGGTCTGAAGTTTTCGTTTATAAAGACATTGCAATGCCACATAATAAACGACATGACACATTATTTGATTATGGTAAACAATACTGTAACAACTCATGCTACAACTCAAGTCTTTAGCAGTTCCAATACACTGGCTGTCCCTGTCTCTACAATATGTTATCAATAAAAAAAAATGGTCTTATAATTTTGATCTCTAATTCTAGAATTTCACAAGGAGGGGAGATAAGCCACTTGAAAAATGTTGTGAGTATTTTGTAGCAAAACTTCCGACTGGTAGCCAGTCCAATGTCACAATGGTTTGATAATGCAAACCTACTACCAACACAGGACAGTCCATTAATATTAATTCTCCTTTGAAACCCTAACTTTTCGTAAAACACTCTATATATTTATTCTCTTTTTCATCTCCATCCCTGCTCTATCAGGTTATATATGACATCCCATGACACCAAGCACTGCACTCTGCCACTATCTCCATATCATCAGAATTTAACAAATATGTTGTTTTCACTATATTTATTGTTCTATTTACTGCAAACCATTTTCTCAAGATTTTATAGCTATACTTCTAAAAATCTCAATTGTGTGTGTGTTTAAAAAATAAAATAAAACAATAAAAACACATTACTGTATTTTCCAGGTTATATGCTGCAGTGGTATATAAACCACAGAGCCAATTTTCAACAATTTTATGATCCACATATTAGCCACACCGCAATATTAATATAAGTAACACCCTTTCTTACCATGTGGTAACCATTATGTTGACCAAAGTTTGTTGACATAACAGATAATGGAAGGCAATTTATCATGATCATCAGTGAAACATTTAATATTATTGAACTTGTTTGGCTTGGAGCCTCCACAGATATAGCGCTCGACGTTATGTATGGTTTACTTAACAATATCTCCATCAGCGTCTGAACTGTTGAATATTAAAGATGGCTCTTCAATGCTGACAAAATTCTTAAAGTCCCATATTATTTTGTGTAAGTTTCACAAAGCCATTCTTATCATAAACAAGCAAGGCAGTCTTTTTAGAATTTAACTAATAACCTGATGACATATCGATCCCAGGATGCAACAGGTTATTGTAAACTTCCGCTTTGGCTTCCAAAGCAACCTTGAAAGTTCAGAAGATATTATTTTGACTCATATTAAAAGGTATGATCAATTAAACCCACGAGAATGTTACTTTTGTTTCAATCTTAAAATTGTCTTGCATACAATTGCAAATGACGGTTCTAGACGTTCTGTTTCAATCACAAACACATGATGATAGGTACTCGTAATAATTTCTGTACCGTCTTGCACTAGTAGACTTTTTTTTTCATTTTGACAATTTGCAGCATGTCAGACTGCCAAGTAAAAAGGTCACTGCTTATAATTTGGAAAATACGGTAAGTTGTCATCATTGAAATCTTCAAGTGCTTAATCACAATTCTGCCCCGAAATGTTTGGTTAAATGACTATAGGAAAATACCATCAGACATCAGAAATTATCATTTCGGTTATAGAAAAAGTACAATAACATCAGTGAAAGTAAAATTATAACTAAACAATTATTAGCAGTCACCCTAGATAAAACATAAAAACAAACAATTGTACCTGACTTCAGTATAAACTATTGTAGAAGTTTTTATCCCTTGCTCAGGGCAACTCAGGGTTATTCAACTGAATAATTTGGAGTTTAACACAAATAGTGATGCCGTTACTGCTACCATTGGAAATTTAAAGTAAATGGAGAAAAATGCAGTAGTTCCCACTGAATCTTGAAAATACAAACATGCTTTAGTGTTCATTTGTTCCATACCTTTAACACATGTGCATTAGTGATAAGTTAAATGTTCTTGTTTGATTCTGGAAAATTTATATCATAGATCATTCAAAATTTACTAAATCCATTACAAATTTTCAGAAGGTAAACTGAAAATTTTGAGAATTAAATATAAATATCCTTTCAATTCAGAATGGGGCCCAGTGTTTATCATCCCCAAAAGTCACAGGAAAAGATCCACTTTAATCTGATGCAGTATCATCATTCAAATTTTATTATAACAACATTGGAGTGAAGAATGCTTCATGATGGACATCTTCAATAAAGATTCCTTTTTTCTGTTTTTTTCCCCAATCCCTGTCCTCCCTCCAACTCTCCTTCATGAAAATGAGCACAGTGGCCGAGAGGGATAACAATGCAGGAAAAAATGTGTGATCTTATTTAACACAAAATTAAGACTTGTACACTACTTGAACAGTGCATATAGTATGTTATCAAACCCACAAAATCTCACATAGACATCTTACCTAATTATCAGAAATCAACCTATAATCTTGATATTGTCACAGGTACAATACAATACATATTCTTTCTCTCTAGATTTGACAGAGACAGAAATTAATAACCTATATATCATTAAACATTGTCACTTCAATTTATGAGACATCTTAGAGTTATGATTGACAAAGTAATTTGCAGGAGTACAGAAAAAGACAACATAAATCAATTAATAAACAAGTTTGATCAGTAACTTATTGAGATCAAAATGCAAAGTAGTAGTATGCAGAGATCCACAACTGGTGTGGAATATGAAATTAATTTCTTGTTTTTATTTCTAAAATTCTGTGTATATAAAGAGATATATACCTGTATATGCAAATTAAGTAGAGAAATCCCTATAATTGGCAAATGGAATACATACATTTACTTTTAAGGGAAAATTGAAGATGGTGGATTAAGTTCATCCAAATTTACTAAAAGATTACTGAATGAAAATATGTTATGGATGAATAAAAATAAATGCCTTCCTTATTCTAATCAAACTAGACAAACAAAGGAAACAAGGCTTTTCATATTGATATCTTGTCCAATGCTGGAAAAAATTGATGTACTTGTATATGCTACTCATATGAATCCATATATTGTATTCTGACTCTGTGTTAGAACCTACCGAAACAATCTTCAATTAAAAATTGTAAAATATTGAGATGAATTTTGAAATGGAAATTTGAATTTTAAAATCTAAAAAAAAACTTATTAAAAGCAAGAAAGTGTTAAAGGTTTCTATGGTGAACTCACACTAATTTAAACACACCCTGGGAAATAATATTGATGTGATCATCACTTGAATAATTCCAAAATTCTCTCTTAATTATACAGGCACCACACTGTAATTGCATTCCTTCCAAAGGCTTCACACATCCTGATTATTTTCAAGGGTTTATCTAATTATAAGTAATGAGGTGAGAATGCAGTAATTATCGTAATTAACTCCCGCGTGAGCTAGCCATGGATATGGATACATGGATTTTCAATTTCTCAAGTACATTGTAATAAGAAACAAAATATATGAAAGACATCCACTTCCATTTTATTTCTCAAACTGAAACACATAAACACTTTTATCGTTAGAATAAAAAGCAAGATTTAGCTACAAATACGGTGTTATCCATGGGCGCTTGGCCATGGTGATGAGTGTACTCCATCACCTGATCACCTGCTAATGACTGATGTCTGATCGATCTTATTGTCTCTGGTTATGTTGATGTATTACTACTATACGTTGTCATCTCAAGCGACAATACCAATGTACACGTGTACAAATAATGAAGTTATGGTTGTGCAAATCTCCATTATGCTATATGAGACATTAACGCAACATTTCATTCGACTGAGTGTAGATCGAGTTCACGGGGGACAACACCCTGAAAAATCAGCATCGGCTGCAGAGGCTGAACAACAAACCTGCTAATGTATCCGGCTCCAATCCTGACCCCACATCAAGCCCACAGACAACGAAATAGTCGGCAAATCGACTGGGGTTACCCTGGTTTGTCATCCCGTCCTCTGATCCCTTTTATGTCCTCGCATATTAACAATCTATCTCCGATATGACATTCGACAACATGGTTTTCGCCAGTAGTCGAGGTCTGCTTCTTCCTGTTTATTATTGACGTTAGATGGCGCTGTCATCGTAAGTAGAGCTGATTATTATTTCAAGCGTAGTTTCGCTTTGCGTTACCTCCACTGCAGTAGGTGTGTGGTAGGCACATTTGAATTAGGATAATAGTTGCACTGAAAGTGAGTAACATATTTATTCCGCAGAATGGACATCAACTAAAGCATAAATGTTTATAAATCTACTTCAGGATCAATGACATTCAGCTGATTCTGTATCATTACTTGGTTAACTACCTCACAAACTTGATATTCCAGACAAGCTGTTATAAAACCGGTATGTACTGGGAATTTAAGCAACAGAGACGAACCTGTATATAAATACAATACAGATAATCACTTTCAGTATTTTCACGTAAGTTATACCAGTACTTTGTAAAACCAAAGTCGGCTAATTCAATCATATAATTTTTATTTTAGAAGCGACAAGTTTTTTTTTCCCAGAAAATTTTACATTTCAAAAAGTAGTTCAAAATGAGGTTTATATCCTCCTTTCAAAGTACAAGCCCCGATTAAAAAAAAAAGAAAAGCCCTCGTCGTGAGCGGGTGTAGTTATTTGTTAGTTGAACTTCCAAAATAGAAATTATTTGAGTAATTGTCATTTACATTGAATAAGCCCCCACCCCCACCCCCGTGTGTGAAAGAAGCACAAGTATCATAAGAATAACTTGATATTGCTTCTCTAGAACAAGATTTGTTATAACCATACTATATTGACATTTAATGGTCTGGAAAATGCATGACCAGACCGGCGTTCGAACCAGGGACCCTCTGGTTCTCAACATTATACTTAGTCCAGTTCCTCTTTATGTTCCTCCCTCCCTTTTCCAAGTCCTAATCCATGCACGAAGACACAATTATTTACAGTTCTGGGAAGGATATCCCCTTGTCAAGCATTCACCTTATTTATAAATAGGAGTGAAAAAACGCACAGTCCCTGACCAGCTCCAAAATATGTGTATAACATTATAAACCAATATAAAGATATCAAGGATCAAACTTGGTTTGTTTTGATGTCCTATCATTATTAATTACCTCGATACTGATGTTACATTTCATCCAGCAATAACCCATGGCTAATAATAAACCAAACTTTTTTCCAAAGTTATGGCCCTTGAATATAGATTGCCAAAAAAAACTTTTAAAAAGTTTCTTTGAATTGACTAGGGATATTGATATAAAAATCTGACATATTATTATGAGAAGATGTAGACTAGGTTCATTATATTTGGTTTGAAATTTTCCCTCAGAATCATGGTTATTTGACTTCGGAATTCCAATACGTATATGTAATGTTTGTGGTGATATTTGTAGGTTCGTGTTCTGATGTGAGGAAAATGTTTTCAACTGTGTTGAGAAATGCATGTAGAAACCAACATCAATTTTCTGCTTTGAAGTACATAGCAGTGGTCAGTGTTGCCACCAGACTTGGTGTAGTACATGGATCAAAGGTACAAATGATATCTAGGTTATAATAGTCCTACTGATCATGGTACAGATAATATTGAAAAGTAATGTCTTCCTTGTAAAGTATTGGTTCCAGTTTCTATCCAATTTTGACCAACTCATATTGGAAGGGATTTTATAATGAATTGGTTTGGCCAATTTACCAAAGAAAACAATAAATGTATCCTAATATATAAATATTATCTTTACAGTGCTACTGTGTATCCAAATTATAAAGCAGCCTTGAAGGATATGACCTAAATATTTATATGTAAACAGGATGAAGGTCGATGTTTGAAAGTGTAATATTTTCTTTACCACTGAAAACTGTTGACAATTTTCAGTGTTTTATACATTTTGTGAAATGTTTGTATTTATGAGTGATATTGTTATCAGAGTATCTGTACAACACCCCAGGTGTGTAAGGATGAGGTGAAGGCAGCCCTGGATGCTGTCAAACCTTCCACAGCAGGAACAACTATCTTTACCAAGATTCTGGATAAAACCATACCTGCAGATATTTTATATGAGGATGATAAGGTGGGGAATATAATTCATTCATAAATTTCTACATTTTATCCATTAAAACAGGTCACATTATTACTAGTAAGAGTAATTTGAAATAGTGGTTTATCTGATGTTTGATTAGAAAAAACTGAGTAAAAAAAATGTTTTTACATTGTGTTGTAGCTGTACATAGTTACTGAAATTGAGATAAAAAATGAAAGTACAAGGAGTGATAAATCTTTTTATTCATTAATAGTTCAGACACAATATCTGTATGAAAATATTCTGATGGTTGACAGTGCATGGCCTTCAGTGATGTAGCTCCCCAAGCTCCAGTACACTTCCTGGTAATCCCCAAAAAACCCATCACAGGAATCAGTGCTGCACAACAGGAGGACCAGCAGGTACACATCAAATACTGTTTATTTACTCCATTTACACACATTTATACCAGCTTCTTTTTAACATGTTACATATGTATAATGGCAGCCCCCATGTGCAGTAAAATTATGGGTGCGCATGCATGAACATAAACACGTTTGGATCGGTAAGACAATGTACAGGGTCAAGAAAGGTTGTGTCTTGAGCAATTACATAAACACCATTAAAATGATCCTTTTCTTCCTCATTCCTGTAAATCAACGCCCGATCCTGTCAATAGTTTAACCCCATTTTGGAGAAATACAACAGACCCTATTGTAACTTGCTTCACACCAGATCTAAAATCAACATTTCACTTTCATTTCAAAATCTTATCGCATAATATTATGTTTATTGGTTTTTATTAGTTTTCTATATACAGGGTTTTCCATAATTTTGTTAGTAGTAGGCTGTGTAGTGAAAGTAGGAGGCTGGCCTTCCGTGTATGTGTAGTCGTGTACGGAACATTATTACGGAACTGGATTGGTGTAGGCGGCCAAATGATCAAAGTAGCCGATCAAATTGGCCGGCGACCAGCTCTTATGGAAAACCCTGTATATATATCACAAAAGATTGCAATCAGGTGTCTCCTTATATTTCCCATGTCAGACAAATGAGTGGGTTTTTATATACACCAAGTCAGGCAAATGAGTGGGTTTTTATATACACCAAGTCAGAAAAATGAGTGGATTTTTATATACACCAAGTCAGACAAATGACTGGGTTTTTATATACACCAAGTCAGACAAATGAGTGGATTTTTATATACACCAAGTCAGACAAATGAGTGGATTTTTATATACTGCATGTCAGATCCATGTGTTTATTTTTGCCTCACAGTTTTGTCAATTTTATTCAGGATTTTTACATACACCAAGTCAGAAAATCTATTTTTTCTATATGGGCTAAGTCAGACAACCAGTTGGTATTTTTATATACACCAAGTCAGACAGACAGTTATTTCTGATCTAGTTCATTTTTATATGTTCTCTCAAACTTGTCAAACTGTGTTGGTATTACTTACTTTACATGTACATAAAATTTCTTGTTGAAGCTCCTAGGCCATTTACTACTGGTGGCAAAGAATGTTGCTGAAAATCAGAAGCTCGACAATGGTTACAGAGTGGGTAAGTGTCAAGGTCATGCAGTTGATGCTAATCTGATCAAACTCAATTCAGGGCCTTAAATCATTTCAAGGAACAGAAGAAAGATATTTTACATATACTATGTTTACAATGGCTGATGCTTCAGTCTTTTCAGACCTGATTTCATTGCTGATTCATCCATTTTCATGCGGTCTATCAGTTTAAGTCCCAAAATGCAATTCACTTTTTAACTGTTGCTTTTGAAATTTAAATTCAAACCAAGAATCAATAGTGCTCTTCCAATTTAGATTTAAAGTACACTTTTTATATTCGTGTCTGTAGTACACTTTTTATATTCATGCCCTTGTGTAATGATATACATATGAGTATGTGAATTACATGTTTTAAAGGCTATGGACTAGGATTCAGGACTTTTCATGGTCTGAAAAATGAGTGGATTTTTATATACTGCATGTCAGATCCATGTGTTTATTTTTGCCTCACAGTTTTGTCAATTTTATTCAGGACCATTTACAGTTTGAGAAGCTTCTTTGAAACTCTATTTTTTCTGTATGGGCTATGGGTCTATGACCAGTTGGTACCTTGTAAAGTGAAGGACAGACAGTTATTTCTGACCGGTAACAAATGAATTAGCAGACTAATTCAGAACAGCTTTGATGCAAACCCTCTTTATCATACTCAGTTGGGAAATGTGCTTTCTGTTAAATGAACACAAAACTGCAAAGTGTTGAAAATAAGGTTAAATGTGTACAGGAAACCTGAAATTTTCATTACTAATTTGTTCAACTTTAAAATTATATCTCATTTATGTCTGTACATTGACTTGTAAATAATTATCTATATATTGACCTGTATACAACTATCTATACATAGATTTGTATATAACTATCTATATATAGACTTGTATATAAGTATCTGTACATAGACTTGTATATAACTATCTTTATACTTACCTGTATATAAGTATTTGTACATAGATTTGTATATAACTATCTATATATTGACCTGTATATAAGTATCTGTACATAGATTTGTATATAACTATCTTTATACTTACCTGTATATAAGTATTTGTACATAGATTTGTATATAACTATCTATATATTGACCTGTATATAAGTATCTGTACATAGATTTGTATATAACTATCTTTATACTGACTTGTATATAAGTATCTGTACATAGATTTGTATATAACTATCTTTATACTTACCTGTATATAAGTATCTATACATAGATTTGTATATAACTATCTATATATAGACTTGTATATAAGTATCTGTACATAGACTTGTATATAACTATCTTTATATTGACCTGTATATAAGTATCTGTACATAGATTTGTATATAACTATCTTTATATTGACTTGTATATAAGTATCTGTACATAGATTTGTATATAACTATCTTTATATTGACTTGTATATAAATATCTGTACATAGATTTGTATATAACTATCTTTATACTTACCTGTATATAAGTATCTGTACATAGATTTGTATATAACTGTCTTTATATTGACCTGTATATAAGTATCTGTACATAGATTTGTATATAACTATCTTTATACTTACCTGTATATAAGTATCTGTACATAGATTTGTATATAACTATCTTTATATTGACTTGTATATAAGTATCTGTACATAGATTTGTATATAACTATCTTTATATTGACCTGTATATATATTGACCTGTATATAAGTATCTGTACATATCTTTATATTGACCTGTATATATATTGACTTGTATATAAGTATCTGTACATAGATTTGTATATAACTATCTTTATATTGACCTGTATATAAGTATCTGTACATAGATTTGTATATACTTTTACATCAGACTTTGAGTGTAACTGCCTTTACATATACAATTGCAGTGATCAATGATGGGAAAGATGGGGCACAGTCAGTGTTCCATCTCCACATCCATGTGTTGGGAGGACGCCAGATGTCTTGGCCGCCCGGCTAGCATTATCCAATATACAACCAAGGGACGTGAGCTGTTGGTTTGTCCAAGACATGTTATACAACAAAGGTTTAAAACCATCTTTTTGTGTAACAGTTGTTTTTATTAAATATTATTTAAAAGTCATTCATGTGGTATTTTTCCCTAAGTACATCAAATGATATAGTTCTATAAAACAACATTATTTGTACACTACTGTATATATAATTTATTGGAATTAAATGATAATCACCATAATTTCAAAACTCCAGAAAATGATGTGGTACTATAGAACAACAAAAAATGTGTTATTTGTATACATAATTTATTGGAATTAAATAATAATCACCATAATTTCAAAAATCAACAAAATGTAGATATTTATGTAAAATTCCATCATCGTACTTGCAGAAATTAATACATCATGATTATAAGTTCAGCTCACATACAAGACACACTACAGCACTTGATAGTGCTGACATCACAGATGTATGGTACGACAGTTACGCACTAGTTACGTACTACAACCAAGTGTCCAGGATTATCTACCAATGACGCAATGCATCATGTGCAGATTCTAACATGGTCAACACATTTTATGAGCACAATGGATTTCTGAAGCAAATGCATTCTTAAATTACTTACTCAAACTCCCAACACCTGTATGACCTTACAACATACACTGATCATATGATCACAGGTCACCTATTCTATATGTATCTGTCTATGTACTTCTTTATATGTATATATTTAAATCAGTTTGCCTTTCATTTCAAATCAATCAATTCTTTCATTAGATCATACACAAAACTACCAATAACTTGTATTTTTCAGCAATATTGAGACTTGTATGTTATTCCAGAACAGAGACAATAGCAAGTTTGGGCAGTTGTATGTACTGATGCAAGTCAACAGGTTAGGTGATACATTCATTACAGGAAGTCTGGTGGGATGCTTCTCTAACACAAGTCTGGTGGCCTTAGAATATTCCTAAATACTCAAAATATATCTGTTAGGATGCCCCTCACTCTAATTAGGCATGTTAGGACATCCCTCACATTAAGTATGGATTGGTCAGTACAAGGTTTGATTTGTCCAGGTGATAGTTTATGGTTGTTTCTACCAAATCTACTCACAACAGATTTCTAACAAAGAACATCTACATTTATACAAAAGATACCCGGTTTATATAGGTGTGACTAGTGCCAGGTGACCATACTACTGTGTAATTCTCCCATTCTACATAGATATATGATAATGACAGCCTCCATCCAAATTCCCTCAGATGTTTCAGAAAATCCCCACAATAATTACACCCAGACTGTTAATTAATTCTACCAAGATATCTCCTACATATCAAGTGGAAATGAAGACCCTGGTACACAATATCAATTTCTATCTGATAAAAAAACAAGATATTCAACGTCAGCGAATGTCATAATGGTTTGTCCGAATAGCTAAGTGTATGACGATATCACATGTGGAATGGTCATTGACTAGAAACATTTAGTCAGTAAATCGGCGGTTAGGGTTCCTTCCAAACAGCACAGTTCTAAGGTGAGGTACCATCTGAAAGTAGACAATAGAGGTTAAAGGTCATTAAACGGTATACAGGGTAATTTGTAACAATATGAACATTATAACCTTAGAAACAGAAGAAATAAGAGTCCACCTAAATTTAAGTTTTATGTTTCATTGTTCTGCACAAACTAAAAATTTCATTGTAATATCAACCTAACTGACTAAACAAGGGGCTGGTTATTTCCATGATAACATAAACCTGACTGACCAGACAGGATGCTGGTGAGTTCTATAACATAAACCTGACTGACCAGACAAGATGCTGGTGAGTTCTATAACATAAACCTGACTGACCAGACAAGATGCTGCTGAGTTCTATAACATAAACCTGACTGACCAGACAAGATGCTGGTGAGTGCCATCAAAATATCAACCTGCCTGACCAGACGAGGTGCAGGAGAGTTCTGATACACCAGCTGACAAGTTCACTTGAAACCCACACTACTAAGTAACAAACAACAGCCAATATTACCTGGTCAAAAATCATTTGCAGGCGATTCTCCAGCATGTTCTCTACTTTGATTTTGTTTCCATGTGCCACCATCTCTACACCGCCACATCTGAAACATAATTGTCAAAATTAACTCCTGTGGTCATTTGTCTAGTGTAATGCAAATAAATCATATGTGTCTGGTAGTAAAGTCATGCCTGATAATAAGTTGATCAGTGTCTATAAATGTTCTGTATCAATAAATACATCTTTGTCCTTCAATAATTATCCCACTGCTTCCTGTAGCATAAAGTATCAGTATGATATAAAGTAAATGGTAAGCTAATTCAACTTTACAGGCTTTACATCCACTATCACAGCCTTTCCACTGAAAAAGAGAAAGTAGAAAGGAAGTAGTATGAAGTAATGGAAGAAAGTGGAAAACTAAGATTGGATAGAGAAGGGCTGTCTATACTATAAGACCCATCATTAAACAATAGTATTGAAGATTTTAACCCAAACTTAGCTCTGACAAGGCACATCATAGAACCAGTTGTGGGCAGTGAAGAAGAAATGGGATCCTACTCTTACTCTTCATAAATTAAGGTATGTCTATACTATACTAAAAACAGCCTAGGGATCTTTATCATGTCAGTTGACCATTCAAACACTGGCAGTCATTTCAAGTTCCATCCAATGGACTGTGTGTTAGTGGTTATTTATAAGTAAAGTGCTCCTGATGATATATTCATGGTGTCATTACATAAGAGTTCTTTCCATATCTAATGTTAAGCAATTTATCGAGACATACCATTTATACAAAAATGATTCCCCTTCACCAAAGAATGCTTCAGACCAAATTTGGCCAAAATTAAATCATTCCAATCATTTCACACCCTGAACTCCATGTCTATGGCCCCTGGGGGCCAAGAACCACCATTTATACAAAATGTTTTGCTCTTCCCCAAGGATACCTCTGACAAAATTTGGTCAAAATCTGATTAGCTGTTCATGAATGGCTGCGATTTGTAGAAAAAATTGACGGACAACAAACGCCCTTGTATATGCCATAGCTCACTTGGTCCTTTCAGCCACGCGAGTTGAAAACCTTATAACCCCCTCCCCTCATATCTATATAAATAAGGATGTAGGATATCTACTTACACTTCAGATCCCAGGTAGTTATCCTTATCAATGTTGACTTTGACAGTTTTTTTTATTTCATCTTCATACTTCTGCACTGCAAGTGGTAAGCACTCCTAAAACAGATAAAACAATATTAATGAAATGTTCCTAACACAGTAATCATCAAAAACATACAGTGAATTGTATTTTAGTAAAAATTGCATGATTTACACCTCAGGATTAGAATATCTGTATGAGAAAGAAGATATCCTTCTTTTCACACCTCAGGATTATATTTATTTACTTGTATGAGAATGACATCCTACTTTATACACCTGAGAATAAGATTTACCTGTATGATAATGACAACCTACTTTATACACCTGAGAATAAGATTTACCTGTATGATAATGACAACCTACTTTATACACCTGAGAATAAGATTTTACCTGTATGAGAATGACAACCTACTTTATACACCTGAGAATAAGATTTACCTGTATGAGAATGACAACCTACTTTATACACCTGAGAATAAGATTTTACCTGTATGAGAATGACAACCTACTTTATACACCTGAGAATAAGATTTACCTGTATGAGAATGACAACCTACTTTATACACCTGAGAATAAGATTTACCTGTATGAGAATGACAACCTACTTTATACACCTGAGAATAAGATTAACCTGTATGAGAATGACATCCTACTTTATACACCTGAGAATAAGATTTTACCTGTATGAGAATGACAACTTACTTTATACACCTGAGAATAAGATTTACCTGTATGAGAATGACAACCTACTTTATACACCTGAGAATAAGATTTACCTGTATGAAAAGAAGATCCTACTTTATTCACCTGAGAATAAAATTTACCTGTATGAGAATGACATCCTACTTTATACACCTGAGAATTTGATTTACCAGAAGGAGAATAACATCCTCCAGCTTACAGATGCTTAGTTACCTGTGAAAGACATCATGTTGTTCACATTACAGTTCAAGATAGCTCTATTTACCTGGACGAGATCAACATCCACTTGTTTACATCGAAGAATAACTGTTGGCTCCAGCAGCTGATAAAGTCCCTGAGCAATCAGTCCTACAAGTGCCTGTTTGTACTTTTGGCGGTCCTTGGTGATTTCTGTCAGTTTTGTCTGTGCCTCTTGTAACAGAGCCTGTCAGTATTATAATTCAGAGATACAGAGCCTGTTAGTGATATAAATATTACAGGCCCTGTCAGTAATATACATATACAGAGCCTATCAGTCATAAATAAATATACCTATACAGAGCCTATCAGTCATAAATAAATATACCTATACAGGGCCTATCAGTCATAAATAAATATACCTATACAGGGCCTATCAGTCATAAATAAATATACCTATACAGGGCCTATCAGTCATAAATAAATATACCTATACAGGGCCTATCAGTCATAAATAAATATACCTATACAGGGCCTACCAGTCATAAATAAATATACCTATACAGGGCCTATCAGTGATATAATACATATGAACAGCAAGTCCTGTCAGTGATGTTATACACATATATACACAGGTTCAGCCAAACATAGATACATATTATATTACTGACAAAACTTGGAGAAATATACTTGTACCATGTAGACAACACCATCTAAGACACTGACAGGATAAGGCACCATTAGGCTCCGGAGCAATCTTCTAAAACTAATAAGTTTGGATATTCTGACAGATGGCTCCACCCCAGATGAGGGGGTTGCAGGTGCTCCCTCACACTGCCAGAACACTGACGTTCGTCAGTCAGATAATGCCTCGAGAAAGAATGAGTCAAGGAGACAAAAAACCTGTAACCAATCTACCAACCTTGGGAAAGTATAACACTGAGGTGAGTGAAACAACGTAGTTTACTACAGAGCTTTCACTAACACCAGTACTAAAATGATGTATAAACGCACCTTCAAGTGAGACTCCCTGGCTTTTAGCACCTTGAGTCTGGCCTGGTTCAGCAGATTGGAATTCTGACTATAAAACAACAGAACAGAATTATCATACTACAGACATAAATCATGACATGACTGAGAAATTCTGTGATCAAACGCTAATGTTAATTAATATGTATTTCATGTTAATATTTAACTAGAACTTTTCCCTAGATACATTTATCTTAAAACATGGTAAGTATTGAATATGTTGCAAACAAAAACTGATCATAACCTCACACAAGATATCAAGATATTTTGTCAAGCCTCGAGAATAATATGTGTGGCTAGTAGAATTTTCACCATAGTTAAAACAGGCTTATACTGTAAATAGATGATGTATTCATGCAATTCTGATTGCAAGTTTATTGAACTGTTCAAATGAATATAAGATTACACACCTTATTCATAAATGAAATGAAATAATTATACATTCAAATTTTCTATTCCTTAATTATGATCTTGAGGATTCCAATTAACAAAATGAATTTACTTCTGGTCCAAAATTAATTTCAGTTAAAAAAAACAATTATGACTGCTCATAATTGTTTTGAAATGGTTTAAAACCATCGGACTCAATCTATTAATTACTGGTATACATTCATTGACTTAAAATGATAAAATTTATCACTAAATCTGAGGATAAACATAGATTGAGTATACATACTAACATCAAAGAAATCCATTGACATATACATTTATTATATCAAATATTTCTGTATTTTTATACCAGCATAAATTGGTTCTGTGTATATTTAGCTGAATTAATGGCAAATCAATAATACTGTTTTACAGTTAAAAAAAACACGGGGCCCATGGGCCTTAATGGTCACTTGAGGTCTTCATGTCTTTGGACATTTTTAGAACTTGTCCATCAGTCCCAGCACTGGGGCTGACAGAACAGAACTGATATATGCAAGGTTTTTTTTATTGTTTCTAAGTTTGAAGGCTTAATTTTCAATTAAACAAAACTGATAATGCTGTCTGTAGTTGTAGTTTAGCATATTTGACCCTGTGAATGAAGGTCAAGGTCATTCATTTGAACAAAATAGGTTGCCCTTCATCCAAGCATGCTAATGGCCAAATATCATGATCCTGGATCATTTGGTTATTGAAAAAAAGTTGTTTAAAGATCTTAACACATTTGATCCCCGTGACCTTCAAAAAAGGTCAAAGTCACTAACTTGAACAAACTTGGTACCCTTTCATCCCAGCATGCTAATGGCCCATCACCCTGGGCCGTATGGTTATTGAGAAAAAGACGAAAATGTAAATTGTTAATGATGGATGGCACACGATGCCAGACAATGACGGTAACAATTTTTTTCTAAATTTTCAGCAATTTGTTCTGAAGTAATATTTCTTATTTCCAACATTTGATATTTTTGCCTTATACCTCTTAACACATTGATAGTCTTACATTTTTTTCTGGAGCTCCACTTGTTTCTCTTTCTTCTCGTAGTATTCCATGATCTTCACTCGTTGTTGCTGCACTAGACGTCCCTTCTCAATGTTGAACTCTTCTTCGGCCTATATATAGTAACAGTTGTGTTTATTGTAATTTGGCTTTAAAAACCATTTTTTATCCTGTCATTTATAAAGACAGTAAAACACATCAATCAATGATGAAGATACAACAATTCAAGGAATGGTAATTCATAAAGATATAACAATTCAATATATAATTTGTCTTTGTGATATAACATACAAATAATTTGTATATTTAATATACAGTCCCTGTCAATGATATATTATACAGGGCCCGTTTGTGATAGAACATGGAGAGAAACCTATACAGTGCCTGTCAATGAAGGAAATTATCAATAATATAATATACATATACAGGACCTGTCAGTGATATATAGGGCCTGTCAACGACATTATATAAACATACAGGGCCTGTTAGTGATACAAATACAATGGGCCTGTCTATCATACATATATTTATATACAAGGCCTGTATATATGTATCAAAAAAAAGTAGCAAAATATATGCCATTTCATTGTCATACATCCACTCATTATCATTTCCAACTTGAAATTGCTTTAGACATCTATTTACTTATGTAAGAATTTTTGTATAAAAGATTAAAATATTCTTATCTAGTTTACCTTAGCATCTATTTCTTCTGCTTTTTCATTTGCCTCCTGTTCAATAAAAGCCATCATGTGCTTGATCTGAAAGCAAATCACAAATTCTTTTTTATTTAAACAAGAGAAGCAACTTAGTTCATACAGTTAAATCTAAAGCTTACATGAGAGATAAAAGTCTGTTCAGAGGTCAATCTGGACAAAACAATAATTTGTGTAATTACTTGGAATACGCATGGAGTAAAATAAGGAAACAAGAGGCAACATGTCATTATACACCAATTCATGTCATAAATATTTTTTTGCAACAATTTGAACTGAAGTAAAACCTTAATATATATGAATTATGTGTGGAAATGCCTACTTAATTCTAGAAACCGTCACTTAAAGTAAGGTGTCCTAAATGAAATCTCCTCACTTAAAGTAAGATGTCCTAAATGGGAACTCCTCACTAAAAGTAAGGTGTCCTATATGGAAACTTCTCACTAAAAGTAAGGTGTCCTAAATGGAAACTCCTCACTAAAAGTAAGGTGTCCTAAATGGGAACTCCTCACTAAAAGTAAGGTGTCCTATATGGAAACTTCTCACTAAAAGTAAGGTGTCCTAAATGGAAACTCCTCACTAAAAGTAAGGTGTCCTAAATGGAAACTCCTCACTAAAAGTAAGGTGTCCTAAATGGAAACTTCTCACTAAAAGTAAGGTGTCCTAAATGGAAACTTCTCACTAAAAGTAAGGTGTCCTAAATGGAAACTCCTCACTAAAAGTAAGGTGTCCTAAATGGAAACTCCTCACTAAAAGTAAGGTGTCCTAAATGGAAACTCCTCTTAAATTAAGGTGTCCTAAATGGAAACTCCTCACTTAAAGTAAGGTGTCCTAAATAAAAACTCCTCATTAAAAGTGTAGATGTTTGTGGAGGTTTTATTGTAGTTTGACTAATTTTAAAGATTACTATGTGCTAATTTGGTTACACATTAAAGAGTATGTAGCCTGTAGAACTCTGCTTTTCACCACAGACTTAGAATATTCTAAATCTGTGTTTTTACTCAGTTTGTACATGTACAGTTGCTCGATGTGACTTTCAACCACCTTCAGTTACCTCACATGATTACCTATAATTACTCAAAACTTTTTCTGTCTTATTAAATCTACTTTAGTCAGCTTGGTTTTCTGTTTAAAACATTTTTTTTCGACTGTTTCTAGCCTTTGAAATTACTGTTCCTTGGAAGCTTGAAAAAAATTAAGGATGTCTAAAATCTACAACTATCTAAACAAAAATTGTTTATCATAGTCAAAGAGGTGCAAAGGATTAATATGATATACTAAAATCAAAAACTTTCATATATATATTCATATATATTTGAGCATCTTTCACATATATATTCATACATATTAGAGCCTTGACTTTCCATATGTAATTAATGCCTTATAATTATTATTTTCCATTCCTGAATTCAAATGTTTTAAACTTATTGCTTCTTCTGTGTAACAATGTAAAATTAGCATGAAATGGTTTTCTTTGATATAATGAAAATATTCGTGTAACCGCGCAAACCAAGCACTAGAGAGAAATACCGGAGGCAAGTATATGTCGCTATAGGCTTATATTATCAAAAGGCAGGTGATCATGACCTGGATAAAAACAAACAAAATTTGCAGCATTAACATTAATATGAGAGCGGATTAACAACAAATCTACGTTTAAAAAACTTTTCTCAATGTGGAATTATAACAATTCACTATTTTCAAGCTTTAAAAGGGTAAATCTGCCGGCCAGTTTTATCATAGAATGAACAGACTGTCAATGTCACGAGATAAGCGATGACAAATTCTTGTGTTGCTAAAGATGCTTACAGCAAATCTATGTCATTTTATGACAATTTTTGAACGTTATTATATAAAAATTACCTGTTTCTGCACGTCTGCATCACTGAGTGCCATGTTGAATGTTTAAATTGAATAAACTTTATAATTAAAGCGCAGCTGACTCCGTCCGACTTCTGTCCCAAAAAGACTTCCGACTTCCAACGTGACAAGCAGAAATTGATGACGTAGTACACATAGGAAGTGTTCATCTGGTCAGCTACAGGGAAGATGGAAAAACAAGTGTAAACAAAAAGTAGGTTGTTCTCCTTTCATACTGTTATTTGTCACTTATTTATTTAGTACACAATTAGCTAAAACGATAATATTGATAATTAGCTGATTTGTTTAACGCAAGAGCGAGGCTATTTGTCTACATGAACCAATGCTATGTTCGTCGATAGGTTTGACCAGGATAAGATAACCCTACTGATGTTTTAGTATTGGCAAAACTATAAACGAAAGGAGACCATGCTACAGGAGATGTGTAAATTGTTTTTACTTTTATCCACTGACCATGGCCATGACCTACCAGACATTGGGTTCGAACAGACATTGTCATCTTTATGTAAGGCAGAGTGTCCCACTTACGTTCTTATGTATGTAAAACTCATTTTCCAGTAGTTTTTTTTTTATCATAAACACAAGGGGATGCATGGACAGGTTTGCTTTTTCTTGAGTTTAATTGATCTATTATTAATGAAATTTGTTTATTCTTCAGAGAAAAAAAACACTAACACATTAATTGCTTCCAAATCATTAGAATAAGGTTTATTAGAATAAAAAAACAGCTTTTAGTGAAAAGTTTTGACACTGTGTAATGATAACATTAGAATTCTTAAATGTCAGTTGGTAAATGATCACCCGAATTTGCATCAGAGCTTAAAAACCGACAGATGGTGTTGTTATGCATTCCAAATGATATAACTGATATTCTTACAAAAAGAAAGAATAAGTGATGGCCTTGCTTTTCTCATCAAAAATACAAAATGGGTGCTTTTGTGACTATATTTAACAACAACGGAGATAATCAATATAAAAGCAATGTCGCAAAATCCATATTCCAATACAAGTTGAAAAATGTTGAAGATATATGTATGATCAATCATAAGCAAATTAATTTCGTGTTTAATCAGTAATTCCATTCTGATGGACCAAATTTTATCTATTTTCAACCGTAAATAAAAAGAGTTCTTCATAGATGGTATGCAACTATGAGTAGCTGGATATACATGCAGTGTTCCTTTATTTTGCCTCATTAATACCAAATCTATAATTGAAATGGATAAGAAAATAGATGCAATACTATTGGCAAAGAAATTAATTATAAAATATTATTATTAATGGATTGGAATTTATGGTGTAATTGATCTGTTTTGTTTTTTTGTACTCAATCGTCAAAATAACATTATTTCATGCAATATTAATAGAATAACGTTGTTTATCTTCAGGAATCCTCTGTCTGAAAATGATGTCCCAGTTAGACCAGGGAGCTGCCTCCACTGGTCAACACTTTGGGTCACCAGATAGTTGTGCAGGGACACCAGACAGTTTCAACTATGAGACTAAATTTATAGTCTTAAACTTCATCAGCCGAAATCCTCACAAGTCTTTAACTAGCCCAAGAAGTGTCAATGGTGGTACTCCACCTATTAGTACCTCAGATTCAGATCACCATCGTCATGGCAGGAGGAGTGCATCAAAATCCATGCCACCATCTCCCCCAAAGCGTCACAAGCCTAGGCTTACAGACTTCAGACAGGCTTATCAGAGGGTATCAGAGGACAACATTCACTACAGGTATAACAGATACAGAGCAATCAACAATGATTTGAGCACAGCTGGAAGTAATTCCCAGATGAAATCAAGAGATTCAGATGACAACATCAATCACAAAAATGATAGATTACATGACTCGTTTGGGGAAAACACTAGCCTGGAATCTTCTTTTTCATCGAGAAGACATACAATGCACCATCAACAAATATCAGGTTCTGCAAATGATGGGAACCATGATGTCAAGTCTTTTCAAGGTAGTCCTGGTATTGACACAAGCTTCATTATTGATTCTACAAATGGTTTAGATAGAGAAAGACCACTAAGTCGCAGTATGATGTCACCAACACAGTACAGACGACACACTATGTCTAAGATGGGAAGTGAGGTAAGCGGGGACTACAGTTACACAAGTGATGCAGATGATGAGGGTGAGGACACCTCAGGTGGGTCCAGTCTTTGGGGCAGTATTGGAGGACTGAATAGTATGCGAGGGAGTGTAGATCTACACCAGGTAGTATCTAGATTACCCACAGTGCAAAGTGTATCTGATATAGAAAATGAAACAGTCATTGACTCTACCACATTATGTAATCCTGAGGATGGTGCTACAAGTGTACTTGAGACTGGAATGCCATCTAATGGTACTTCTCAATTAGATGCTAGATCCAGGTCTGCATGTAATCTCAGTGATATTGACCTGGAAATTGATTACGAGGATTTAGACAGCACATATGAAAATGACCCAGCTGTGTCCACCAGTATTTCTCTGGAAGCAAGCAGTAGCAACACCAGTGGGATAAAATCACTTGACCGCTCTAAACTTAGACTGGACATTCAGGAATCACAATCCTGGCCTAACTCCAAGGCTGCACGCTATGAAGCTGTTGCAGCATCCCTGAGGTCTGAGATTGAGGATGAAATGACAACACTAGAGTCTGAAGTAGAGGATGGTAAAAGGCTTTCCTTTGTTGCTTTGAAGGATATGATCTGTGATGTATACGAAAAATAAAATGTAACTTGGAACTGAACATGCTACATTGATAATGTATAACCATTTATATTTCATACAATTATGTAAATAATATAGCTGTTAAAGATGTTAATTACAAAAACCAGTAAGTAATCAGTGGAACTGATTTAAAAGATTTCTTCTTAAAATGTAGGTCACAGTTTAACTCTTTATGCAAACCTTTTTTCACACAATGTCAAGTTATCCAATGATTTATTTCAGCTATCAAGAGTCGCAAAATTCCTTCATGCCATTCACCTTTTCTGACACCAATGACTCCCCAGACCCAGGCAGCTAAGGTCCTTGCACGGATAGGTGATGAGGTGATGGACCAGTATGAAGAGCAGTTGGACAAATCAGTGGCCATTCTGATGCAGTACAGTCAAAACCTCACCTATGACACTTTTTGTGATGTTGCTAAAGGTGTCCTTGACCGTGACCTTCCAGAAATGAAACAGGTAAGCATTTTACTCAAAAAGATGGACTATATCTAAATCAGTTTTCTGAAGTGTTCTAATATTCAGATAAAAGAATGTCTGATACACTTGAGGTTTTCCTTAAAAGAGAAAACTTAAATTGGAACAGTTGTAGATATTGGAGACTATAACATTTGAGAATATGTTATTGATGTTAGAAGTGAAGTGTTTTACTGTACCATGATTTGCCTGTGCTAGGTAGCATTACTGATGGTGTATGGTCAGAAAGCGGCATGGCGGCTCGTAGAGAATGGACACCAGGGAATCGGGAACCTGGTGGATTATACATCCAGACTTGTAGCAGACCGCGCAGCTGAGTTTATCATCAAACAGGGAGGATGGGTAAGGCAGCATATTTTAAGTTTCCTTTGTATAGTTACCTAATCTAAGGATATGTTATTGGTAAGTTTGAACATTTCGTTGGTGTTTACATCTAGTAGTATAACAGCAATGTTCCTACAAAATGTAGATACATGTACTACACAATATGAAATCACTTGTGCAAGATTTGGATAAATGTACCAGTACATCTTAAAATGTGAAAGCTAATATAAGTATTTCATAATTAATCTTTTTTTTACACAAATAAAGTAAAAGTTGGAAATAATACCCTTTCAGAAAAAGTGTCTGAAAATCTACAATAGCACATTATGTTGTTTTATAGGGAGCAGTGATGAGTTCATCAGATTCAAGTCTCTCCTCTGACTCACTGGACGATGTTTCACCTCTTCATACATTTGAAGATCTGTGTGCCGATTCTATTGATCACTTGGACTTTGACCCTGACAATATCTCTGCATCGGACCAACCTCCAGCAGTGTCTGTACAGGCCATGTCAGTAAATAACAACTCATTCTCAGAGAACCAGCAACTAGCCACAGCTGAACTACCACAGTTACCAACAGCAATAGTTGATCCCAGCTCATCTAGTGATGAGGATGATCACCAGATTCAAAACCTAGAACCATGGTATCACTGGTTTGTCGTACCAGAACACATAGCAATGTTGTCTTGTACAGTGGCAGCTATAGGACTAGGACTTTTGTTGTCTAATACTAGGTAAATTACAACTAAAACTTAGCGGCCATAGGGCTGGAATTTCTGTTGTCAAAGACAAGGTAATTTACATCTGAGGGCCGGTGATTATATAGGGCTAGGACTTCTGTTGTCAAAGACAAGGTAATTTACATCTGAGGGCCGGTGATTATATAAGGCTGGAATTTCTGTTGTCAAAGACAAGGTAATTTACATCTGAGGGCCGGTGATTATATAGGGCTAGGACTTCTGTTGTCAAAGACAAGGTAATTTAAAGCTGAGGGCCAGTGGTTATATAAGGCTGGAATTTCTGTTGTCAAAGACAAGGTAATTTACAGCTGAGGGCCAGTGATTATATAGGGCTGAAATTTCTGTTGTCAAAGACAAGGTAATTTACAGCTGAGGGCCGATGATTATAGAGGGCTGGAATTTCTGTTGTCAAATACTAAGTAAATTACAGCCAAAGGCTATTACTATTTTTACTAGATATGTCAAACCATACTACATGAGTTTGATCAGGTAACTGATGAACAAGGTTGTTGTTGGAAGTAAAAATTTTATCAATTCTCTTTACTGTAACAACTTGTTTTGAAAAGTTTGTTGAAACTGAATGCTTGTGTTCAATATAGATATAGGCTGAGACAAACAATGCTGTACAGAAATGTTTTTTGATGTGGAGAAGTGTTTAGTAGAGCGGTAAACAGTTAAATGGATTCTGTGTTTTAGCAAGTTTTCAGGCTTCGCTTAGAGTCTTCACTGAATCATGTACGTAATCTGTCTTGGTAAGCTTTTTTGGTGGCACATTTTAGTAATCTGTGTAATTGTGTTTTATTGTTCCTGCATGAAGAAGGTCACCTTGATATACTACACAATTATTTTTAATTGGCAATAATATTGTTAAAGTGTTCATGATCAAGTGAATACACAAATGTACAAGTGTAACTTTACAAATCTACTGTAATAATCTTAAACTGAGGATATTTTCTATAGAATGATAAATATAGTACCATATGGAAGCTAAACAATGTAATGGTGAAGGTCTTAAAGTCCAGTGTTTTTTTCCATCAATGCAACAAAACATTCCATTAATACAACAGAACATTCCATCAATACAGCAGAACATTCCATCAATACAACAGAAAATTCCATCAATACAACAGAACATTCCATCAACATCAATACAACAGAACATTCCATCGATACAACAGAACATTCCATCGATACAACAGAACATTCCATCAACATCAATACAACAGAACATTCCATCGATACAACAGAACATTCCATCAATACAACAGAACATTCCATCAATACAGCAGAACATTCCATCAATACAACAGAACATTCCATCAATACAACAGAACATTCCATCGATACAACAGAACATTCCATCAATACAACAGAACATTCCATCAATACAACAGAACATTCCATCAATACAACAGAACATTCCATCAATACAGCAAAACATTCCATCAATACAACAGAACATTCCATCAACATCAATACAACAGAACATTCCATCAATACAACAGAACATTCCATCAATACAACAGAACATTCCATCGATACAACAGAACATTCCATCAATACAACAGAACATTCCATCGATACAACAGAACATTCCATCAATACAACAGAACATTCCATCAATACAACAGAACATTCCATCGATACAACAGAACATTCCATCAATACAACAGAACATTCCATCAATACAACAGAACATTCCATCAATACAACAGAACATTCCATCAATACAGCAAAACATTCCATTAATACAACAGAACATTCCATCGATACAGCAGAACATTCCATCAATACAACAGAACATTCCATCAATACAACAGAACATTCCATCAATACAACAGAACATTCCATCAATACAACAGAACATTCCATCAATACAACAGAACATTCCATCAATACAGCAAAACATTCCATCAATACAACAGAACATTCCATCGATACAGCAGAACATTCCATCAATACAACAGAACATTCCATCGATACAGCAGAACATTCCATCAATACAGCAGAACATTCCATCAATACAACAGAACATTCCTTCATATTTTCTACCATCTCTATAAGGTATTGGCACTGATCTCGTGTGCATTACCTTAGCGTTAGTGGAAAATCTGGTGGTGCATTCTGCTAATTTTTCCTTCTGTGTTTATCTGATTTAAAGAGAAAACAGTTGACTAACATATTATAGTGATAGACATAAAAAAAATAGGACAGACCAAGTCTTTATAGATAGAGAAGTGTTGCTTAGCTCACTTTCCTCTTATAGATTTCAGGATGAAATTATATTCACTTAACGGCCAAGGTTGTAAACAAAAGCTGGTGATCAATCAATATTTTTCTTATTCATGTATACTGTGAATCTATAAAGTATCAAATCAAATGATATGTTTTTATAAGAATGTTTTACAAATTTTGACTGTCAAATGCCTTTGTAAGTCTATTTCTATTAGATTTTTCCTTATTAAGTAACACCAGCACAACACAAAATGTTGATGTTATGGCCAGTTACATCCTTTCAACAACTGTATGGCCATTATATCAAATATGAAATACATTAGATATATTTATGAAGATTTATGAAGATAGTGTAAATCTAGTGTTCCATGTTTATTTTTGACTAATATCCAGGAATTTTGTATATGTACTGCTGTTTGTCTAGTCCATCTAGCTTCTTGTTTTAGTTACTTTCCCGTCAGATTCAGGGCTGTCATTTATGAACTTTGATTTCGTGTTTTGTCATCAGTAGCAATGCAGTGTCCTTGTAACAACTTATATCAATATCATACTTATGAACAAAACCATAAATGAACACTGATAGACAATATATTATGAAATATGTTGTCAGTGTTAATGTCTGTGTAGAATAAGCTTAAGATGTTTCAGTATACCTTTGGAAGTGTCATGTTATAATATCTGTCATCTTTTCATTGTCCGTCCATAGTTTTTTGGGTTGAAGCTTATTCAATGGGCTTGCTTATCTAACTTACCAACAAAGTCACTGGAGTCAGATATTGATGTTTCAAACACCTTATATGACCCATTTTCATAATCATAGAGCAGATATTTACTATAATTGTCATTTTGTGTGCAAATATGAAAGGATGTCAAATGCACTTAGGTAGATTTGCTATGACCCAACTTAAAGGTCAAAAGGGTCACCTATAAAGTGATATGACTAAAGCTCTCTTCCTCAGGAAAATGCTTGAAGACATCAGACACTTTTCAAGATACATTTTGGATTTAATGAAATTTGATTGTCATTCATCCCAATAAATCATAATATTTATGTGACTGTAATTATTATTTCAGCAAGTTATCTAGGGACTTTAATGTTTAAGAACAAGATAGTTTCTTTGTACTTGCTAAACTTATTTTTTTATACTTATGTCCGTATAACATTAGTCATACCCCCCACAAAGAAGTTTGGGGATACTAGAATCAGGTGGTCTTACGGTGCATCCCGTCATCTATCTGTGGACATGCCTTGTTTGGCCAGCTTCTCCTAAATTTATGAACCAATTTCACTGAAACTACAAAAGAATGTTAGGGAGCAAATGTAGATGTGAATGCAGGTTGTGTTTGTTTCTTTGTTTGTTTGGTTTTTTTCTTTTTTTTTTTTTTTTTCATTACAAGGAAATGGTCCAATTTTAGGTAAGTTCAAGGTCATTTAGAAAACTATAAAATGTTGAGGTCACTGAGGGGACTGAAACTAAAACATTTTATGTGTAAACTCTTTCATCTGTGGAGGGTGAGGGGTATTAGTTGTCCTCAGGATATCAGTTCTAGTTATCATCTGTAATACTGTCCATACAAACAGTAGCTATTATTAGTACATGTGTCTATACAAATAATCATTCCATGTGACCACTTGTTTATATCAAGTTTAAACATAAATCAAAACTATTCCAATTTTTATTTTACTGTATATCAATGGCATATTTTTGATATTTTGTTTTGTGAGATATTTTTATGGCTCAAGACCAAAAAATTGATTATTTATTTATATTTACAAATGTATTATATATAATTTCCATAATATTAACTTGCTGTAGGTAACAATCATCTTGTATTTTGGATGCTTGAGAATGGTATGGAAGCTGTTTGTGTATGTCCATCTGTTTGTTATAAATATTGTTTAACAATCAAGCCTGGGTATATTAGAGATGTGATTACCCTCATAATAAACACAAATGGTGATCATAAGTTAAATCAAACAAGCACAATATCTGATGTGATCATTGTAGATGTGTATTGTATCAGTACCAGGTGATGTAACACTGACGGCTCCATAGGGTGATTTACAACAGTGTGTTGTATTGGTACCAGGTGATGTAACACTGACGGCTCCATAGGGTGATTTACAACAGTGTGTTGTATTGGTACCAGGTGATGTAACACTGACGGCTCCATAGGGTGATTTACAACAGTGTGTTGTATTGGTACCAGGTGATGTAACACTGACGGCTCCATAGGGTGATTTACAACAGTGTGTTGTATTGGTACCAGGTGATGTAACACTGACGGCTCCATAGGGTGATTTACAACAGTGTGTTGTATTGGTACCAGGTGATGTAACACTGACGGCTCCATAGGGTGATTTACAACAGTGTGTTGTATTGGTACCAAGTGATGTAACACTGAAGGCTCCATAGGGTGCTTTACAACACAGCGATATTCTGATCTTCAATGCTCATGTATTAAGGCAGGGAGGTCCCTGATTAAGGAAGTGTATTATATCCGACTAGGTAGTATGAGATTATTATTGTGTATCTGTCTGAAGGGTAACAATGATCAGCAGTGTGGTGTTGTTATGTTGTATAAGTGTGACATATGTGATTTGTTGTATAACATAGATTACTAAGATATAATACACATGCTCAAAATTTACGTGCATTACACTCACAGGTGTGAGAGATTAGTTCACGTATCTGACTATATAGAGATATATTTTACCAATCATCTACAATCTGTGTAGGAGTTATGTTATACCTTATACAT